TGGAAAATTTAACACAAATGCATAACATTTGTCTATTACACCCATTAAATATCATCCGATGAACATCGAAATGGGAAGGCTTCTGCCCAGCCATAAGCTCTAGCCCCTGCTAACTTCCGCGTCGATTGCGACCTGTAGAGCAACTGCAAAATTAGGAACATTTTCAAAAAATGTTGATCCATTTCAACCCCTAAATATTATGTGGTCATCTCCAGAAACCAGTAAAGTAGGGTTCTATTCTGACCATAACCCCATTTCCAATTTCAATTTCGTGAGGATCGGACCATAAATGCGACCTGTAGCGTGATTACAAATTAACATGGACAGACGGGCGGATGGACATACATAGCTAGATCGGCTCAGCTCGGCGAGATAGGAATATCCACATACACCTTCTAATGTGGTAAACAAACTGTCAAAAATCCTATCCCAATTCGCTTTTTTTTTTGCAAAACTTTTGTCATACGTAAAGATGACTTTCAGTAAAAATTTGCAAGATACCAACATCAGTTACAACATGAACCACAATCTGGAATCTTGAGATTTAAAAACGTTTTTTGAGATGTATTAAATACGTGTATGCATGTTCCAGCATTCAATTTTTCAATTGAATTGCATCTTAAAGGCTATACCTTATTGATGGTATAATAAATAGCAAGTTCGCCAAAAAATATCGAAATTTACATTTCCTTCTGTCGGTCCATTCATTCGATCATCAGTCAAGTACTCATTCATTCATTGATTAATGCCACTACCATAATCATGACCACCACCAACAAACTGTACCTCTGCCTCTCCCGTTCCCGTTCATGTACTCGGTCGCTCACTCACTCATTCTCACACATTATGTGACAAAGTATCTGATATCGGTCGCCCAATAATGATATTGGATGACAATTTCTACCTACTGTCTGTTAGTATGTCTGTCTGTCTGTCCATCCAACCATCCATCCGCAGTATGCGTACCCGTTAGGGGCATATACTCACTCACATATACATACGTATAGACGTATAATTTTGGTCAGAACAAGGGTAGAAAAACGAACTGATTTACAAACCGAGACTTGGTGCCATCCATCTATAGGCAAGGATATAACACAAAGGAAAGGGGGAGGGGTTTTTATAGTCTTGAGCTGGTTCATCCACTAGTTTGTTTTTTTCGTGTATCTTCCATTCTTTTTTGTTAGCGACAATTTCTTATTGTCAAGCTATATTGCTTCTGTTGTGGTTGTTTATAATGATGTTGCCAATGTATGTGTGTTACATGGTCATTGAATTATAATTGTACGAAATAAATAATGTAGTCTATAGAAAATTATGTTCAGTCACCAAATTTTTTTTCTTTACAAAATGTGTGTGCTTTTACGAAAACTAACAACCTTTTTTGTGTATGTACCAAAGAATTTTTAGAAACTCGAACTTTAAGCTTACAAAAAGTTTTAAAATGGTACTAAAGTTTTAAAATTGTAGCATTTTGTATCATGTGAATGGATAGAGCTAAAAACATGAAATTTCGTTTGAGAATTAAAGTTGGAAAGTAAGTTTGATAATATGAAGTTTATTTTGGAAATGTGTACTAAGTGTGCGAATTGTCATAAATGGTACTAAGTTTGTACAAAATGTTACATTTTTGTTTAAGGTGAACGAATGAAACTGGAATTTTAAATATTTGTATTGGGGTCCATGTTGATGCTAGCTTTGTTATAAAGAGGTGGTTATGGAAATGTGTAATAAGTGTACTAACATTTTGGTACTGCTTGAAATGTGAAATTTGTTCGATGTTTATATGAGTTATATTTGTACGAAAAGTACTGAATGGTACTATATTTGGTATTGGATGAAGGGATAGAGGTAAAATTCTGAAATTTGATATTTTGATTGCTGATGGTATGCGTGTTTGAGATATGGCGGTGGTTTGGATATGTAACCGATACTTGTACGAGTAGTACTAAATGGTACTTAATTTGATATTGCGTAAAGGAATAAGCCTGGAATCCTCAAATTTGGTATTAAGGTCTCTGTTCTATATGTACTATAGTTGCACGAAAAGTACTACAGGGTTGCCCATATTCGACGGACCCATGTTTTTTTCGATGACTCTTTGAGCTCATTCCAATCGACGAAGCTTGTCCGCAGGCAACATTCTTTGCGTCAATTGAATTTTGTACGGGAACAAATGCAAATCAATGCGAATAATCCGTTGTAAAGTGGATTGAGCCATGCCCAACTGCTGAGAACGGCGTTTTTGGGATGTTCTTGGGGATCTCTCAACACTGGCTCGTACGGCAGCGATATTCTCGGTCGATCGCCTTGGTCGACTTTTATATGACCTCTTCGGATTAAAAAGAGCCTTACCAGTCGAAAATGTTTCGTATAAACGCTTAATGGTGTCCTTAGAAGGCGCACTTCTCACATTTTTTAATGTTTTAAAATGTAAATTTCAACTATTTCAGAGCGCTCGCGTGGCGTGTATTGGTTCATGGTAAAAATCTGCTTGGACTGACGCTTCAAACGCGGTATGTCATTAAGCGATGTGACATCTCTGTCAAAAGTTATGGTGTTGCCAGATGGGTCCGTCGAATATGGGCAACCCTGTACATTTGGTATTAGGTGAAGGGATAAAGATAAAATTCTGAAATTTGTTATGGATGCCACTGTTGGCGTCTGTGGTTGAGAGAAAGAGCAGATTTCGGATATGGATACTTTAACTGTACGAAAAGATCTAAATGTCACTAAATTTGGTCTTGGTTGAAGGGGAAGAGATATGAGGTAAATTTGCATATTATTACGTACGTACGTACTAAATGGAGCTTAATTTAATATAAATGTAGGAAAAGAAATGACATTATAAATTTTGCTATGAGGGTAACTATGGGTTTAACAATATACAGTATTTATGAATGACTAAGTGAACCCGGGGCGCTTCGCTATTCTTTTTTACCCCCCCCCCCCCCACCAAACTATGGAGGGTATATTAACTTTGTCATTCCGTTTGCAACTCCTCGAATGTCCATCTTTTGGTTGTAATCTCGCTATCTTTCGAATTCGAACGAATTGAGAAGACTAAAATTTTGCACACATGTGTATTTTGCCAGTAGACAGTTTAAGTTCCTAAATGGGGCATGTAAGTCCACGTTTTCGAATAACCCCCATATAACGGTACCTCTCAGTATTTTCTGATTTTAGCGACACTATTCACTGGAATTTTTTAGATTTCATATTGAAAGGTCAATGGGTTCTACAATCTATGACAAAAATTACTTATGCAGGTCCACGTCTTCGTATAGCCCCCATATAACGGCGTTTTTTAATAAATACAAGTGTCCTAACAGGCGAAACAAGTGCACAATTTGGAAACTTTGTTTATTTTGATTTTTCTCTCAACAATAGATCTAATATAAATATGGGATATATCAGTCCATTTTCTTTGGTAACTCCCACCCTGTGGTCTTAATCCAATACCAAATATTTTTATACCCTACATCACAAGGAGGGTATTTTGTGCGTTTGTTTGTAACAGGCAAAATGAAACGAGATAGACCCATAGGTCATTTTGATGATCTGCATAGAATCACATTCAGAGTCCATTTATGAATGTCCGTCCATCCGTCTGTTCATGTATTTTTGTAAACAAAGTCACATTTATTGCTCGATCTAGATGAAATTTTGCACAAGTAATTTGTTTGACCCAAGGATCAACCCTATTGGAGATAATTGGTCAAAATTTCGATATGGCTCCCATATGTATCTTCGTTCGATTTGCTTTATATTGTGCACCAAACGTGTAATATCAGCCCAAATAGTATGGAATTTTGCACATACGACCAGATTAGGCCTTAAAATAAGTATGCCAAATTTTATCGGAATCGGTTTAGATATAGCTATAGCTCCCATATGTATTGTTCATCCGGTTTGTTTTATTTGTTCTCCGCAACCTTAATTTGCACTTTGTAACAACGATATTCGAAGAGATATGTATATCAAATACTTTCACTAAGCTTAGAATAAATGTTCATATTCCGTAGGAGGATTATCATGTATAACAGTAACGATTCAATATCCCATTGCTGTTACACTACTGTGTGTTTGACGTCGCATGTTAGTGTGTTGGTGCATGAGCACGGTCCCAGCAAGCATTTGGAAGTGTGTGACTCACTTCCATTTAAAGATGCCACTTCTACGACGCTTCTAATCCTATTAAATGCGATAGTATGTACATTTACAATAACAAAACTACTGTTGTCTTTTTTCTATCGTCACGTAGTTACTACTTAGTGGCACAAGAAAGTTAAAAGAAGGTGTCTCGTGTGCAGACACTATCTAGTGACTGCCGTCGGATAAAACAGTGATAGTTTGCCATTATTTACGAATTGAACATAAATAAGACTTTATTCTATCTGAGGAATATAAGACACTGTGGCGCAGTGGTAAGCATGCCAGCTTTGCTCTCTGAACACCTCGGTTCGATTCCCAATCCAGGCATCACATTTTTAAAACGAAAAAAAATGTTTGAGCATTTCATCTAATAAGTAATAGTTATATGCAAATGAAAATTGGAAAAACAGACAATAACAATAAAAATAAAAAAATAAATGCTTAAGTCTGGAGTAAAAAAAATTTTTTTTTTTTTGTTTTTTCACTTCCAATAACTATCGAGGAAGTGGCTTCCACGATCATTAGAAATCTATCGCGGGCGTGGTTCATCTCTTCCCGAAGGATGCTCCTTCCGGGGTGAGAAAGCGATATCAAACGCGATGATTTCTATCGCTTAGGCGTGACTTCTTAGTGATTTGGGGGATAGTTTTTGCTTGCTGGGGTATTTCTTGTTATTTGTCATTGTGTCGTTGTCGTTTTATGCTTGAAGAGCCCATCACTCACACACTTGCAAACAACTACACGCACACACTCACAAATCCACTACCCATCAATAGCCTGCACTCAAAATAGTTTTTCTGAATCGATCTGAAACTTAAATTTAGTTGCTGTCTTTAGTTCGTCGTTGCAAGTTGTTCCTTAGTTAGAAAACATTAAATCGAAATTGATTGCAAACAAAATCCAACAAAACAAAAAAAAAAATTAAAACACAACACCTTCACACAAAATTATATTTAAATAAATTTAAATTAAATATATATTAACGCGTAGCGGTTCTATTTGATAACAAAATATTATCATTTTATTAACAACAAAATAAATAAACAAAGAAAAGGTGGAGAAATTATTTATGTTACATGAAACACACATAATTAAAAAATAAATATTGAAGCACAAATATATAACATAACCAAAAAAAAAAAATAAATAAATAAAAAAATCCCCTTACAACCATACATTATCATCTAGGATAAACAAGGAATTAAGTCAAGGAAAATATTAATTATGGAATACCATTTCTTAACAAGGTGTGTTGAATTTATTTTTTAAAATATTTTGAGAATAATTTTGAAATTAATATCAAAAATTTTGGAAACTTGGACATTTATATAATGTAAACATAAAACCTAATTATTATGTTTTGGCACATAATCAATATATGGTTAACCAATACAGTTTAAAAAAGTTGTCGGGAGGAACAGAAGTTCGGATTTGTTTAATTCCCATCATAATTGATATATTTTTTAATGGCACGTCGAGGATAGTTTGGAGATAATCATATACATTATATTTACAATCATTTCTGAACCACTTTACATAAGCGGAATTTGTATTTTAACTATCTAAACGTTGGCAATCGGTAGAACGTGATCAGTAAAAAAATCTTAGATGACCTCGCAATTTTCGTCCGTCTTTTGAAATCACTCTGTATTTCAATCGAATTGAGTTAGGAAATTACAAATTTGAACCCATGTGCCTTTTGTCTGCAGGCTAGTCATGTTTAAAGGCGGTTTTCTTATAGCCTCAATTTAATGGTACTCTTTCGACATTCGGTATTCTTCAGCGTAATTACTTTAAATGGATTCGAAAAGGCAAAAGAATTGTATATAAAGGCTTACGTTTTGCCTTATTCCCCATATGACATTATCAACCGATAATCGGAATCTTGGGGTTTTTCGATACTTTTTGCAATGGATTTGTGTGAAATATGGAGTTAAAAGGACATTTTCTATATAAGTCCACTTTTTTTACATGGCGCTCCCATATAATTTAAAATGAAAAGGTAGGGGTCTGACATTTAAAATATTTGCGGTTGAAGAAAATTATTTTTTGTTCTGTGGCTTGTTTTTTCAGCGGATTCGTTTTAAGTGTAATAAAAAGATTTGTTCGGCAATTATTTGTGGACATTCTGTTGTTAACAAATTCAGCGAAAAGGAACACTTGGACTTAAATATAAGAAGCAAAAGCCTTGAGTGAAAGCTTTATTAAAAAAGCAATACTACCTGATCGTCGTATATCAATGCTTTCTCAACAACATTCTCAAAAACATTTTTTTTAAATTCCCTATTTGAGGTTCGTTTTCACCCCTCTGGCAGAAGATTGGAGAAAATCTCAATTTCGTGATTTTTATCACTAATATCTTCGGCATAATTTTGGAAAGGCACGAGTGTAGGCTATAATTTGGTCTGTAGATTTTAATACACCATAATGGGTCCACTTTCGACTTTTTAGAGATTTTTCAAAAAGTTCCGGTAAAAAAATACTAATTTTCCTTTATTGCTCCGGAACCGGTTCAACCAACACCACATTTTGGTTTCGAAGAACCGGATAAAACCCGGACATTGTATCCGAATTTTAGGGTCGAATAACAGAGTAACCGGGAACTTCCCCCATTAAAAAATTACATTCCCGTAGTCAGAATAAAAATACCTACATGCGCTACAATCAAATATGATATTAGAATTCGATTCTTTGATACCCTTTGGAAATTCATTTTGTAACCATTCTTGGGTGCCGCGTGCTGAGTGCGACGGTGCTGAGTCCTGTTGGAATGTCCAAGGTCTGCTGCCAAAACTGTTTGCGTGTCCAAGGCTTTAATTCACCCTCCAGAATATTTTCGCTATAATATTCGGCATTTATTCTGATGCCACGGTCGATAATTACGACGTCTATTTTCTTTCTGTTGCGGTGTAAGTTCTTGCACTTTTTTGAATTTCAATGGCTCATTTCAACATTTGCCGAATGGAATATTGCGATATGTTCAGCTCACGAGCCATTTTTCGGCCACTGCGACGCGGGTTTCGATCAAGTCGCTTCTTTACTTTGCGAACCATTTCTGCTAATGTTACTATTTTCTTCCGCCCACTTCATTGACCTCAGGCTACCAGTATGACGATAACGAACGATGATACGAGACACAAAAGATTTATTCACATTTAAATGCTGGAGTGCTCTAACGATAGCCACTTGTGGGTTTCCAGCCAAATATAAAGAAATCACACCATCACGTTTGAATTCCATCACGAATAACTTTTTCCGGAAAATTCTCACCAAAATGCAAAATTGATTACATTTGACCAAAGTCATTATTTTAATTTGTTCTTTAATACGGGCAAGTTTTTGAATTCAATATTTTTTTTAAATCTAACAAGTGAATCGACGTAAAGTTCAGGAGAAATTTCAAAAAGATAATTTATATCTAAAATTAAAATTTTTTGGTGCACGTTTATTTTGGCATTTTATTCTCACTTATTTATCAGTTCTATAAAAAAACCAGTAAAGAAAGTCCTAAAGTCGGGCGGGGCCGATTTTATGATACCCTACACCACTTTGCTAATTTAGTTGAGCTCCACTTAATAATTAAAAGTTTTTATGGGAGAATTCAATCATACACGCTATGATTATAATTATAATTTAAAATTCAAAGGACTAAATATGCCGAAGCATTTGTATCTTTTAAATTCGGACTTGTATTGCCCATTTGGTGCGAAGTTAATTTGAAATCGGATAAAAATATGTATGGGAACTGTATCCAAATCTGAACCGATCTCGATAAAATTTGGCAAAGATATTTCTGAGCTGTATTTGATATATTTCCCTGATTATCGTTGTTACGGAGTGCATATTACGGCTGTGGGTAACAAATACAATAAATCGGATGAACAATATATATGGGAGCTATAACTATATCTGAACCGATCTTCAAATTTGGCATACTACCTTCTAGACTAAATTCGGTCGTATGTGCCAAATTCCATCCCATTTGGACAAATATTAGACGTTTGGTGCACAATAAATGGTAAATCGGACGAAGTTATATATGGGAGCTATATCCAAATCTGAACCGATCTCGATAAAATTTAGCAAAGGTATTTCTGAGCTGCATTTGATATATTTCCCCAAATATTGTTGTTACAGAGTGCATATTACGGCTGCGGAGGACAAAAATAACAAATCGGATGAACAATATATATGGGGGCTATAGCTATATCTGAACCGATTTCGATCAAATTTGGCATACATATTTTCAGGCCTAATTTGGGTGCAAAATGCAAAAAAAAAATGCAAAATTCCATACAATTCGGGCTGATATTACACGTTTGGTGCACAATAAAAGGCAAATCGGACGAAGATATATATGGGAGCTATATCTAAATTTTGACCGATTATCTCCAATTTCAAGAGGGTTCGTCCTTGGGCCAAACAAATGATCTGGATCGTTTCCTTTTGCCTGTTACAAACAAATGCACAAAGACATAATACCCTGACCACCTTGTGGTGTAGGGTATAATTAAAATTTTTGGTGCACGTTTATTTTGGCATTTTATTCTCACTTATTTATCGGTGCTATAAAAAAAGATACAGTCGAAGGAAAAAAAAACCTTAATTTGAATAAACTTTTAGTGACTGCCTGTGATACATTTTTTTTAATTACCTGGCCATAAGGCTTCCTTCATATGCCAACATCCGTAATATACTAAATGTTAGTCTGTTCAATAAAAAATATGTATTTAAAACCGCCAAATTGCCCATTGCTGGTGGTCTACCGTTATATTTAAGATATATCAAAACTTCGAACTGTATTGAAAACAGACAGACGGACATGACAAACTATTTGTTTGATTTGACTTTATGAATATTTCTCTCGTAACAAAATAATGCATATGAAAATAATGACATATTTTTCGGGATGACACCTTTTTGATTTCGAACTATTTGAAATTGCAAATAGAATAATTCGAAATACAAATGGAAGAATTCGAATTACAATAAAAATAATCGAATTAAAACTGAAATAATTCCATTTAATTCAAAATTATTCTTTTTATAATTTCAAATAGTTTGAATTACAAATGAAATCATTGGAATTGTCGAATGATTCGAATCAAAAGAATTCTCAAATTACATTTAAAATGTTTGGAAATACATCTGAAGAAGGTAAAGAAGTAAGTAATGTTTATAAAAACCAAATTTAAAAGCAATACTTTTTAATACAAACGATTCAAGTCAAAGTTGTTTTGCAAAAGAAAGTGGTTAATCAACACAGAATCTAGTATATCTGTCTGTTGGGTCTCCGACAATTTATGTTATGACCATTAAAAATTGAATAGGATAAGTGCTTAGTTTAGCATGTCCCAGTAGTCTGCCTTTTTATACCCACCACCATAAATAGTATGGAGGGTATATTAAGTTCGTCATTACGTTTGTAACTCATCGAAATAATAATTTTAGACCCAACAAAATATATATATTCTTGATCAGCGTATAATTCTAAGAAGATTTAGCCCTGTGCGTCTGTTCGTCCGTCCATCTGTTGTAATCACGCTAAGATAGGAAGCTTTAATTTTGCACAGATCTGTCTTTTGTCCGCAGGCAGGTCAAGTTCGAAGATGGGCTATATCGGTCCACGATATCGTATAGCCTTCATATAACGGTAGCCCTCGATATTGGGTATTTGGATGATTTTAGCCACATTTTTCAATCAAATTGTCTGAAATCCCACACAAAGAGTTCCTTGTGAGCACTTTATCCACGGAAAGAGAGTTGTCTATATAGGTCCACGATATCGTATAGCCCCCATATAACGGTACCCCCTCGATTTTCGGTATTTTGATGATTTTAGCCACATTTTTCAACAGAATTGTCTGAAATCCCACACAAGGAGTTCCTTGTGAGTACTTTATCCCCTGAAAGAGAATTGTCTATATCGGTCCACGATATCGTATAGCCCCCATATAACGGTAGCCCTCGATATTCGGTATTTTGATGATTTTAGCCACTTTTCAACAGAATTTTCTGAAATTACACAAGGTGTTCTTTGTGAGCACTTAGCACCGGAAAGAGAATTGTGTATATAGGTCCACGATATCGTATAGCCCCCATATAATGCTACCGCCAATATTCGGTATTTTGATGATTTTAGCCACATTTTTCAACGGAATTGTCTGAAATTCCACACAAGAAGTTCTGTGCGAGTACTTTACCCCCAGACATATAGGTCCACAATATATGTCTATATAGGTCCACAATAACATATATCCCCCCAATATATCGGCACTTTCCGATATTCGGTATTTTTTAGATTTTAACAGAATTTTTAATGGAGTTTAGTTTTTGAAAATTTTCTAATTCGTTCCAAATGGTGGAGGGTATTAAAAATTCGACCCGGCCGAACTTACTGCTTTTTTACTTGTTCAAACTCAAATACCTTAGAATTGTTATACCCTACAACTTATATGTGTATTATAAGTTGGTAGGGCCAAAAATTACCTCGAAATATTGGTCCAAAACATAGGATGTTGCACATGGATCTTCCTATCTCGCCGAGCTGAATTGATCCAGCTATTTGTGTCCGTCCATCTGTGCGTCTTTCCATTTTAATTTGTAATCACCCTACATATCGCAACTATAGCCCGTTTCGCTCGAAATTCGGTATAAGGTTAAGTTCGAAATAGAAACTTATTATTTTTCATGATGATCGCAGTATATTTAGGGTTTAAAAAGGACCAAAAACCTGAAAAAGTCTATATTATGCAGTCGTCCTAAAGTTCTCAGCTAAGGCCCAATAGACATGGAATTTTTTTATGAGGGTATTGAATGTTTTATGATGTTTTTTTTAGAGATCGTATGGTTCGTAGAGAACGTGTTTGGTTCGAGATCTATGATAATTATTCGAAAAGGGGAGCAATTATGTTGTCAACATGGGGTTTTTTCTTAGGGAAATTTTCATTGTAGTCAAAAGTCTTTGCTTACTTATTATATCTAAATATGAAAATAAACTAATATTGGATTCGAAGATGTTGTCAGCTAAAATTGTGTATAATTTCGCTGAAAAATAATGTTATTTTTTTATTATATATCTTTTTGAATTATATATCTATAAACTCATATCACTTGCAATTTAAAATGTTCAAAAATAATGTTGAATCAGTTTTATTAAATAACAAGAAAAAAAAAAACATTAAGTTCGGCCGGGCCCAACTTTTAATACCCTCCAACTTAGGGTAAGGGAAACATTAGAATAAATGTGGCAAAAACCATTAAAATGCCGAATATCGGGAGGTACCGTTATATGGGTACCTACACATGCAATGTTTCACCAAAGAAGCTAGAACCCATTATGACCTACAACTACCAATTTTTAGACATATCCGTGAAGAAATGTGTCAAAAATCATCAAAATACCGAATATTGGGAGGTACCGTTATATGGGGGCTATACCAAAAAGTGGACCTATAATTACAATTAACAACAACATGCAATGTTTTGCCACACGAACTAGGACCCATTATGACCCACAAATGCCTTTGGGTAAAGAAAAACCTTATATGTGAATTCGAACGTGTTCCACTTTAAACTACAAATACCAGTAAGACCGTTTAAATAATGCTGTTAAACTATTCAAAGAAATATAAAGTGGGTTGTGGCCGTTGTATGGGGGCAATACCAAAACAGAACCTCCAAAGACAATTTTATGCTTCAAGGATTGTCATCTACCATATCTTATTAAATACCACATTTGAAACAATTTCGTATCGAGTACCGATGGGTACAGTTATATATGCGCTATAAGAAAACTTGGACCTAAATTTTCAATGTTCTGCCGTAGGAGTTAGAACCCATTATGAACTGCAAATACCATTTTTTAAACAAATCCGTAGAAAAATGTTGCAAAAATCGTCAAAAAACCGACTATAAGGAGATATCGTTATATGGGGGCTATACCAAAACGTGGATCTATATATGCCAGGTTCCGCCACCGGAGCTAGATCCCATTACGAAATACAAATACCAGTTTCTGGACAAATCCGTGTAAAAATTTGGCAACAATCATAAAGATACCGAATATCATGAGGCACCGTTATATGGGGGCTTTACAAAAAAAGTGGACCTATACATAAAATGTTTCAACACTAGAGCTAGAACCCATTAGTACCATTAGATACCAATTTTTTGACAAATCCGTGTAAAAATATGGTAAAAATCATCAAAATACCGAATATCGAGAGGTACCGTTATATGGGGGCTATACAAAATCGTGGACCTATACATACAATGTTTCGTCACCAGAGCTAGAACCCATTATGACAAAGAAATACAAATTTTTTCACAAATACGTGGAAAAATATGGGAAAATCATAAAAATACCGAATATAAAGAGATACCGTTATATGGGGGCTATACAAAAAAGTGGACCTATACGCACAATGTTTCGACACCAGAGCTAGAACCCATTAGGACCATTAAATACCAATTTTTAGACAAATTCGTGTAAAAATGTGGCACAAATCATTAAAATACCAAATATAGGGAGGTACCGTTATATGGGGGCTATACAAAATCGTGAACCTATACGTACAATGCTTCGCCATGGGAGCTAGAAAAATCCGTGAAAGAATATGGCGAAATTCATAAAAATACCGAATATCGGGAGGTACCATTATATTGGGGCTATACCAAAATGTGAATCTATACATATGCCAGGTTCCGCAACCAGAGCTAAAACCTATTACGAAATACGAATTCCAATTTTTGGATAAATCCGTAGAAAAATGTGGCAAAAATCATCAAAATAACGAATATTGGGATGTACTGTTATATGGCGGCTATTACAAAACGTGAATCGATATATCTCATTTTCAATACCAACCATCCTAAACACAATACAAATCGGTCTGCCAAATTTTGAAGCCCTACGTCAAATAATGTGCTCTGTATCGTGATTTCAACAGACTGACGGATAGACAGACAGACAGACGGATATCTTTAAATCGACCGAGAATTGTATGCTGAATATGAATATTTTTATGCGGTCTACAATAAATATTTAGGGATGTTACAAACGAAATGGCAATGTTAATATATCCTCCTTTTCAAGGTGGAGGGTATAATAATTACAAGTAGTTTATTTAGTTTTAAGAATAAGCAATATGGCAAATTCTGTTTTTTTTTTTTTTTTTTTTGATTATCTACATACCTCTGTCTACATACCAGTATTAACAATTTATTTTTTCTATTTTGTTTACAGTTCAACACAAATAACAAATTATGAAACGTAAAAAGTATCACATTTTACATCGATCCCAACAACAAACTGTAAGACTACAACAACCTGCTAAAGGAGTCATGTCATGGGATTGCTATATAAAAGTTCCAAACTCTTGAAAATAATTCTGGGTAAGTTGGTAAATAAAAAAAAACGAAACATCAAAAAAATGTTTTTTGAATTCTGGTATCGAGTTTAAATTGCAGGGAATATTTATTCAGACTTCAAATTACATACTTAATTTTGATTTAAAAAACAATAAAGGTTTTTGTACCTTCTGCGCATAAGGCCTGATGTTTTGAAAGAAAAAAAGTGTGGCCTTGGAAAATATTCACAGAAAAATGTATATGTATCTAAATTATCAGATAGGAATTTCTCATCGTTGCCTTCATCTAATGCAATTTCATTAGTTAAATTTCAAAATACCTATCTATAACTATAAAATAACATAATTTGCGTTGAATATAAAATTAAGTTTATTGCAGTGTATTTTCTTTTAAATATGTTACACCAAAAACCTCCCTTCCAATACAATTTTTCTAGTTAAAGGCTTTAACCCAATAGAATATCGATTTTCTGTCAGGGAGAGTGAGAGAGAAGGTGTGAGTATTTCTCTTTGCTAGTTGAGTTTTCAATACAACATATTGGAAACAACAACAACAGCTAAGAGAACTACCACTTCAACAAAATGACGTTGTGCCAATGCTCAATGGGCAAAAGGGGCGGAGTTTAATGTGTTCACACAGTGTTTCAAACATCACATTGAAATGAAAGCAAACAAAAATATTTCTTTTTGGTAGAAAAATTAGAGAAAACTGTTAATTAAATTTTATTTGAAAGTAATTTGATTTCACGCATGTAGTTAGAAAGATTTAAATCTGAATAAAATCTCCAATGACGTGATATGAAGATCAAAATGTTGTTACGACTCCTTTCATGTTAATCAATATAAACTCGGAATTTTTCTGGCCAAACTCAAGTTTTCGGCAGACGGTTTGATTTGTCATTGAATTTGCAACAATATTTGTCTAAGGTCTCATAAACTCCATTAATTCTAGCCGACTTAGCTTTACCCGTCTGCATGTCTATCTTTTGAAATCAATAGAACTATGGGTTTAAATGTATTTTGAATTCTTTAGCCACAACTGCCAAAAAAACTAATTTTCATTTTGACGGAAACCTTTTGTAGCCATTCAATATAATGTACTTAGTTTTGAAGGATCTAGCTCGATTATTTTGAAGGAACAAACAAAATCCCAAACCAACAAAGAACGGACAAAAGTCGGGCGGCGCGACTTCGTCGATTTCCACTAATCAAATATCATTTAACTTTAAAAATACTTAAATAAAATTCGACTTAAATTAAATATATTGGAGCTACAGCTATATCATTAAAATTGCTAGACATATTCCTCCCATGTGCGCTAAAATTCATTTGATTCGGACTAATATTATGCGTTTGGAGCACAATAATTACGAAATCGGACAACACTATATACGGGATCTGTATCCAAATCTGATTCGGTCTCGATGAAATTTGGCAGAGATCTTTTTGGAGTATATACCATATCTGGTTTCAAACATTATTGTTGTGGAGTGCATGTTACGAATGTGAGAGAATTAAACCCCAAATCGGATGAGCTATATCTAAATCTGAACCGACAAAATTACTAGACATACTTCTGGACGGAACCAGGCCGTGTGCGCTAATATTCATTTGATTCGGACTGATATTACACAATTGGTGCACAATTCTTATGAAATCGAGTGGCCCTATACATGGGAGCTATATCCAAATTTGATCCGGTTATCACCAATTTCAATAAAGTTTGTCCTTGGGCCAGACAAATGATTTGTCCAAAATTGAATTTCAATCAGACAATAAATGGGATCTGTACTTTGTTCACAATAATACATGGACAAAGGGGCAGACGGACAGACATGCATAAATCGACTTAGAATGTGATTCTATAAAGATCATGAAAATGATCTATGGGTCCATTTCTTTTCCTTTCCCCTGTACCACACTGTGGAGTAGAGTATGAAAATTCTGGAATTAGGCGAAATTAAATGGAAATCTAGGCCAAAACTTACCAGTAAAGAAATGCCCAAAGTCAATTGGTATATATCCAAATCTGAACCGATCGATAAAATCGATATCGATGTTACAGAGTGCATATTACGGCTGTGAAGGACCAAAATAACAAAACCGATTTCCTCCAAATTTGCTTAATATTGTCGTATGTGCAAAATTCCATCCTATTTGGGCTATTATTACACAATAACACAATAAAATCGAATAGGACGAAGATATATATGGGAGCTATATCTAAATTTTGATCGATGCCCTGACCTTTGTTGACTTGATCTAATAACAAATAATATTAAGTTCATTTGTATAGAGTATTTCTTCTTTTGATACCATCGGCCTTAAACAAGATTTTATGATATTTTCAGGCGTCTACTCAAGAAAAGCTCGAGGAAAAATTGATCAAAAAATAATTAGGGAATATTGGAACATTTACGCAAATATATTTTTGATACTCTTACTTACACTTATAGTAAAATTTGATGCAGAATATTTTTGTCTTTGAAGTCATCCTTCTAAAATGGTGCTTTGTAGGAGATTTTTGCATAAACTCAAATAAAGTAAGGCTTTTACTCTTAGACTCTGGACGTCTTTGTGGACCTACAGTAGAATTTTAAGACAAATAATTTTGTAGAATATTTTGAAACAGGATAGTTTAAAATGAGTTTTTAACCATATTTTATAAAAAGGACCAAAACATCCCTTTGACGACTCGCTTGAGTGTTAAAATATTAAAAATAACAAAATATTTATTTGGTTTTTATATGCATTGTTGCCGAAGACATAATATACCCAAAATGTACGAATTCCGAAGATTATTCCGAAAAGAAGTAAGGAACTTGACCCCCTATTTTGATTACTTTTTTATATAAACTTTCAAAACGCCGATACACGGGTTTTCTTTTTTAGCTCTACATTCATAATCTGCTTCAATTTCACCGTAATTATTGAAAAAAAAAATTGAATTTTGTTTTTGCATATTGTAATTTAAAATTATTTCGATGAGTTACAAATGTATGACATGATAAAATTTAAGACAAAAATATGAAAAAAGTAATATTTAACCAACCATTTAGAATTTAAAGCTTCCAACGAACTAATTTAATTTCACGCTCTACATTCAATTGATTATCAGACGATGAAGACTTCAAAATAAACTTTTAATATTCAAACATTGGGTTAGTTGTACCCCGCCACCACCATCAAAAAATAACTCGAAAAACAAAGAAAACTAGGTAATCAAAGTATGTGTGTGTGTAAAAAGTTTCTTATCATTTTAATAAAAATAAGGCTTCTTCTTAATAACTCAATTTAATATTCAATCTGACAAAGTTGTAAATATAAACTCACGAAATAAATATTAAAGTACACCACCAAAGTCACCATGTTACAGGTGGTTGGAATTGAATGATTTAAGGGATGCTTTTTTTACAGGATTTTGATTATTTCAGTCCGCTTTTTGATACAGAGAGAGAGAGAGAGAGAGAAGAGAGATTTGTTTATAACTGATTTGTATTTCTTTCTATTACGCAGATTCCCTGGAAGATCAAGAGGGTGGAGCTATGTACATATCGTGCGATGTCTCAAATGGAGGTCCTGTGGAACCTGAAACGGGTTATGTTCCCAATAATCCATTATTCGGTTTGGCGTTGGATAGTCCACAGGTAAATAAATCACCGTGATTTTAGAACGGTACTATTTTTGTACGGTACAATTGTCTACTTTCTCAATAATTTCCGACGGGAAAAGTACAAAAAAAAACGCCATCGTTGATGTCATTTGAAACAAAATCAAAGAAACTTAAAGACAAATCAAGTATTTCGTAATGAAAAAATATGGACATTTTAAAAAATGTGATTGTTAATTTAAAAAATAATCAATTAAAATCGAAAAAAGGGATTTTGGTGATAAACAATTATAATTGATATTTATGTGGAAAAAAGACTGTTTAATATGTAAGGTTATAAACAACATATATTAAAATGAGAAGATTTTGATTTAGTTCAATATTAACCTTGAAATAATTTCAAATAACCTCCCCCACGAGATAAGGAAAACCTTTCAAAAAGAAAGGATCGGGAATAAATATTATGTCCACTTCCATTTTCGCTTGTGAAATCGGTTTGAAAAAAGTCTTAAAAATGCCGTAAAGACGATGGTACCGGTTTCCTGCTAAAGTGGTTGTCAAACAGTCGAATTTCAAAATACACAATTAAAAAAGCAGCAGGCCGATACCCTTCACCATTTGGAAGGAACTTGAAAATTGTGGGTCTAACATGAGTATTTTGAGGAGTTACAAACGGAATGACAAAGTTAATATACCCTTCATAAAATGGTAGAGGGTATAAAAAGATCTGCTGAAAAATACAGTGTGAAAAAAATAACAGCAACAAAGTCAAACGTAAACCATAATTTTTACATTTTTGTTTTAAATTTTATTGAATGAAAGCAAAAAATGTGGAAAATAGCATCAAATTTTAGAATAAGTTAAGATTTGTTCGAATTGGTCAGCTTTGGCACGAATTATGGCCTTCAAACGAATAAAACCGTCACACGCTGCCCGAATGTTGCTCTGCGGTATTTTGGACCATTCCCGGCGAAGCGCTTGCTTGAGGTGATTTAGAGTTGTTCGAATAGGTCACCATTGGCACGAATTGTGGCCTTCAAGCGGTCAATGGAACCGTCACAAGCTGCCCGAATGTTGCTCTGCGGTATTTTGGCCCATTCCCGACGAAGCGCTTGCTTGAGGTGATAGGTATTTATTGGTATTTTTAGTGTCAACGTTGCTTTTCAAAATACTCCAGCCACAATAGTCCAATGGATTGGTATCCGAAGATTTTGGTGGTCATTGTGCACTGGTAATGAAGCCAGGAACCTCATTTTTTAACTATTCTTGGGTGGCATGTGCTGAGTCCTGTTGGAATGTCCAAGGTCTGCGACCAAAATGTTTGTGTGCCCAAGGCTTTTATACACCCTCCAGAATATTTTCGCGATAATATTCGCATTTATTCGAGCGGAGAGAGACCATCGGTTGTTATGGCGGCCCACACCATCACTATGGTCGGCGCTTGAGTTCTGATGGCCAACCGAAGGTACAAATCAGCTGACCTCTTTGGCAAGTAAACACGACTTGATCGAAACCCGCGTCGAACATCGCTAAATCGACATATAATTTTATGCTGATCAACAATACAAACGGAATGACAAACTTAATATACCGTCCGTACTATGATGGAGGGTATAAAAAATAAATTATGTTTGCTCTGAAAACCTAAAAACAAAATGCGCGTTTGTTAAAAATACTGCAATAATCCAATATAAATAACCAACGTGAGAACCGGATAGTCTATTTTCGAAGCAGTTATCCTAGACATTTATTTCTAAATATTTATTAAATTTCGCAACTGTTTTTTAAATATTGAAAATTTAAGGTTTTTGAAAAAATATGCATCTAGAAAAAAATTGGGAACGCAGAAAAAAGTATCTGAACTTATAACGCGTTTAAGCGGATTAACCGTGATTGTTGAGTTGACCATTTCAGAGTTTTATACAAATTCATAATTCTCTACTGTACTATTAAATGCCACACATTTCGAAAATCATTTAAAACTAATTTCAATCATTTCAATATTTTTATTACAGCAAGAGTGTGCTGCCGCATCCTGTATTGGGTGTCTATCGTGTCAAGGTAATACCGTCTTGCCGCTATCCTCATTGCCAACCAACGATTTCGATTGTGGTTCCTGTTTCGATCCAATCGTTACCGTCGATTTAGGTGGTGGCGGTGGACCTGCACAAAATAATTCACAAGTGATACTGAACAGCACTGGCAGTGGTGTTGGTGGCAATACTTGCACATCAAACTATTGGTCCACCGACGAGATGGCATCGACATTTCCAGGACTGCCAGCTTTAGACATCGATCCCCTACCCAGCCTCTTCCCCTTCTCACCATGTGGTGCATCATATAATTTCTCCGCAAATCCTCATCATCAAGCTTCACTCTCGTACACCGTACATCCCCATCAAATGTTAATATCGCCAAATAGTCATCAGCAAACAACCTCAGCCGTAACCTCAGCGTCCGCATCCTCAACGCCCGTATCCGGACAACATTCGTCGTCGCTATCGCACAGTAATGCATTGAATGCGTCATCCGCCGTGGCGTCCCAGCCATGCTATTACGATCCGATCAATGTAGCGGGAGGTGGTATTTCGAACACAACGGCGGGCAACTCGTGTGCCTTACAGCACATGAATACACAAACAGGTGCTAGTGGAGCCGGTGCCGCAGCTGCTGCTCTATACCCCAGTATGAGTGTTAATGTCAGTATGAATATGACAATGCATGGTTATGGTGCTACCGATGCTACAATGCCCATGCAGTGTTCTCAGGTAGGTTCATCAATGCAAACGAGAAAAAACACAAATGGGAATGATTTTAATTTGACTCAATTTACTTTTTCCAGATGCAATGGACTCCCACAAATTCATCATCGGCCGTCAATGTCTTATATCCTCCATTGCTAAGTCCCTCCCATTACCCGGGTGCGGCAACTTATTCCTTTACAGCGGATTTTCGCTCACCTTCCTTGCAATCGAATCAAAATCAAAACCACAGCAATATGTTGTCCTCCATGCCTGCAGAGTCCCTCGAAAAGGACACATCTCCCTCACCAATGCCACCAACGGATGCTATCTCACCAAAAAGTTTCTATGCCAGCACACAAATGGGACAGAGCTACTCCCCACCCACCAAAAGTCCAACACTATTCACACAAATACGTGACACAAAACCCTACAATCAATTGACCGGCTTGCCGATGACATCCGGTGTGGCTAGCGGCTATGAGGATGAGGACAGCAATGAAGAGGGTTCCGAATCAAAACCGAATCTATGTCGGTTGTGTGGCAAAACTTATGCCCGACCCAGTACATTGAAAACCCATTTGCGAACACATTCCGGCGAACGGCCATATCGTTGTCCGGACTGTAATAAGAGTTTCTCCCAGGCCGCCAATCTCACAGCTCATGTACGCACACATACTGGTCAAAAGCCATTCCGTTGCCCTATTTGTGATAGACGTTTTTCACAAAGTTCCAGTGTCACTACGCACATGAGAACCCACTCGGGTGAGCGTCCCTATCGATGTTCAGCCTGCAAGAAATCCTTTTCGGATAGTTCGACGTTAACGAAGCATTTGAGGATACATAGCGGCGAGAAACCGTATCAGTGTAAACTGTGTTTGCTAAGGTGAGCTTATAGCATTTACTCTGTTCCAAGGGGCTAGTAGGATTGTAATTTTTCTTCGATATCATAAAGGATAACTCGGTTATTACAGTTCTGGAACAGAACAATTGTTAGCAAAAATAGAGATTCGGTAATTTATTTTTCAGGCCTCCAGAGCTATGAACATATTTTTTTTTAAATATGTTTATAAGGAGTTCCAAGACTAGTTATAAATTTTCTTAGCAATATTTTTTGTTATGCTATGTAGTTATGGATTTTTATTTCTCTTTCGAGATGGTTAAGAAAGAAAGTTATTGGGATTTTTTAAACACCGAAACCCATCCAAGTCTGACATAAGTTCTACCAGCAAATCTTTTTCACGCCAGAATTTATTTTCGTAGCGATTCCTCCAGTACATACATTACTGTTAGAATGACGGGTTAATTGACGTTGAGATACCAACTACTATTTGGCTGCACACCGACATCCACGACTCAAACTGAGCTTGGATGGGAAGTCAGTTGAATTTTCAAATTTTATACCCACCACCATACATAGTATGGGAGGTATATTAAGTTCGTCATTCTGTTTGTAACTCATCGAAATAAAAATTTTAGACCTAACAAAGTATATACAGGGTGAGATGAAAAAACTGCAACCAACTTCAGACTGCTGTCATTTCTAAGCCACTCGTCCGACAGCTGTTTCCAGTGACAGCTATCGTTAGAGCACTCCAGCATTTAAATGTGAATAAATCTTTTGTGTCTCGTTCCATCGTTCGTTACCGTGATACTGGTAGCGTAGCCCAACGTCAAGGAAATGGACGGAAGAAACAGCAACCTCAGTAGAAATGGTTCGAAAAGTAAAGAATCGACTTGATCGAAACCCGCGTCGCAGTGGCCGAAAAATGGCTCGTGAACTGAACATATCGCAATATTGCATTCGGCAAATATTGAAAAATGAGCTCGGGGTAAAGCCATTGAAATTCCAAAATGTGCAAGAACTTACACTGCAACAGACAGAAAATAGACTCAAAAGAGCTAAAGAGTTGCTTCGCTTGGCCGAAAGTGGTGAACTGCCAAATTTCCCCGATAAGAAAACATTCGTTGTCCAGCATTTTGTAAACAATCAAAATGATCGTGTTTACTTGCCAAAGAGGTAAACACGGTTGGCCACCAGAACTCAAGCGCCAGCCATGGTGATGGTGTGGGCCGCCATAACAGTCGATGATCACTCTCCACTCGTATTAATCGACCGTGGCATCAGAATAAATTATCGCGAAAATATTATGAAGGATGCATTAAAGCCTTAAGCACGCAAACATATTTGACCTTGGACATTCCAAAAGGACTCAGCACGCGCCACCTAAGAATGGTTACAAAACGAGGTTCCTCGCTTCATTTAAAGCGCACAATAAAATCTCCGGATACCAATCCGTTGGACTATTGATCTTTTGACTTTGTTGCAGTTTTTTTATCTCACCCTGTATATCAAGGACATGTTTAAGATAATGACTATCAAGCCACTTATCGAGGATTTTTTGGGAATATTTCTTGAGATCATAGGACCTCCGTAGAACATTAATTGTTTAATATGTTTAAACAACTATTACTTTCATTTATTATTATTTTTTTTTTTTTGTCAAGAATATTTTTGTACATTAGTCTAATACATACTTATTTTCTTTACAGATTTTCCCAGTCTGGAAATTTAAATCGGCACATGCGCGTTCATTCCACCAACAATAACGGCAGCAATTTGCTAACATGACAAAAGCCACGTGGAGGAGGTGGATTCCAACACTATCATCCCCACAATCATCCACATGCGTACGCACATCATCCTACCCATGCAGCGGCAGCTGCGGCCGCTGCTGCAGCCATACATCCAGCACATCCATTTAATGCCAGTAACTATGGCAATTATATTAACCATTCCCATGGTCATCCACATAATCATCATCAGCATGGCATCGGCGAGTATGCTACACCCGGTTCACAAAACTATTCAGGGTATTATTTGTGTGCTGCATTAAATAAGCCCAAATTGGAACGATTTTATTAGGTAGATATTTATCCGAAATACAAGAAAAAAAACACATATAATTTATATATAATACGTATAGTACTTATTTATATTCATATAAACATTTATACATACATATGCAACAATTACAAATACATATAAGAAATCAACGAATATACAATGATAAAGTGTATACAAAATAGGTGGAATTTTGATATAATGTTAATAGAACATGAGGCACGTTTACATATACCAGTTCCAGTGGATCTAAACTGTCAGTTAGGTTAAATGTGAAATCTATTGGATTTCACTTGACGTATACGCAATAGAATTGATAGTTAAAATCCGCTCGATTTTGCATATGTGTCGTTGAAATCTAAAGTGTTTAAGGGAAGTTTTAAATTCAAACCGACTCGATTAAGTGTTTCATATCCAGCGCCAAATTTGAAGCCGATATTAACTGTCTTTTATTGGAAATTGAACAACGAATTCTCAAATACTTTCAGTAGGTGAAAATGTTAATAAAGTTATTAATTCTTTTTGATATTTTTGTAATTTTTTTTAAATAAATAGGCAATCTTCATTTTATGAAATCCCTAATAATTTATTCAAATAGCGTCTAAAGCATGGTACCATGGTCTAAAAGAAAACGAATTATCTTGAGGGTTTCCGATCTAATTATACCCTACAACACTATGTGTTGATGTAACACCTCGAAATATTGTTTTCCCACATGGGAACGTATATATAGATCTTCTTATCTCGCCGTGCTGAGTCGATGTAGATATGTATGTCCGTCTGTTCATGTTAATTTGTAATCAAGCTACAGGTTTCAATTTTGCCCGATCTTCACTAAATTGAAAATGGAGGTGGGGCTGGAGCCAGAATAGAAGCCTATTGTTTTTGGAAATTAGCGCATAATGTTTAGGGGTTGAAATTGACCAAAAACTGAAAAATTTCCCGATTTTGCAATTGCTCTATAGGTCGCAATTATAGACCCATCGAAGCGGAAGTTAGCATGGGTCAAGAGCTAAGGGCTGGGCAGAATCCTTCAAATTTTGATGGTCATCGGGTAATATTTGATTAATATGTCCAACTCTAAACCGATTTCCACCAAATTTGGCAATGTGAGTGACTTCGAGAAGGATTATATTAAACAAGTAAAAAAGAAGCTAAGTTCGTCCGGGCCGAACTTCTTATACCCTCTACCATTCGGAAGGAACTTGAAAAATTTCAAAAGAAAAATCCGTCGAAAAATACCGCTCAAATGAAAACCTTTATTTGGGGGCCATACGAAGGCGTGATGCTAGATTAGTCATTTTTTTCTTCAAATACGAAATTTGAAAGAATTCCAGTGAATAATGTCAATAATATCATCAAAATACCGAATAAAGGGAGGTAACATTGTATGGGGGCTATACCAAGACGTGGACCTGCGTAGACAAGTATACATTACGAACATCAAATACAAAAATTATAATTTAGAATAATTTAGTTGAATAATGTCGCTAAAATCATGGAAATACTGAATATCTGCTAAAATGTGGGAGCTATACAAAAAGCTGGACTTATATAGACAATTCTTTTCCAGGGAGTAATGTACCCACAAGAAACTATACGATATCGTGGACCTATGTAGACAATTCTCTATATAGATAATCACAGACGATTCTATTAAAAAATGTGGCTAAAATCATCAAAATCATTGTATGGGGGCTATATTATATTGTGGACCTATATTTCAGGATGTAAAGTACTCACAGAGAACTCCTTACAGACAATTTCATTGAAAATTGTGACTAAAATCATCAAAATACCTGATATCGGAAGGTTCTGTTATACGATATCGTGGACCTATATAGACAATTCTCTTCTTGGGGGCACTCACAATGAACTCCTTGTGTGCAATTACAGACGTTCCATTAAAAAATGTGTGTAAAATCGTCAAAATACCGAATATCGGGAGGTACCGTTATGTGGGGGATATACGATATCGTGAACCTTTAGAAACATTTTAATTTCAGGGGGTAAAGTAGTCATGAAGAACTCCTTGTGTAGAATTTCAAACAATTCCATTAAAAATTTTTGCCTAAAATCATGAAAATATCGAATAGCGGGGGTACCGTTATATTGAGGTATACGATATCGTGATCTGATGTAGCTCATCTTCGAACTTGACCTGCCTGCAGACGAAATTTAGAATTTTACGCTGATCAAAAATATATTTACCTTGTTGGGTGTAAAATTATTATTTCGATGAGTTACAAACAGAATGACGAACTTAATTTACATGTAGGGTATATGTTTGGTTGAGGGTATCAAAATATATATCGGATCATTAGATATATGGATTCCAAGAAATGGAAACATTGGGTTGAACAATCCATTCTATTTAAGCTTATATTACACTTTTGGTGCAGAATAACAGTGAAATCGGATGAAGATATATATGGAAGTTACATACAAATCTAAACCGATCTCCATAAAATTTGGCAGAGGTATTAAATGAAATTGCTGCGTTTTGGACGAAAAAGTCCGAGAAGTCCTTGACGTTAAAAAATGTCGAAAAAACAAAGCAAAATGTTGCATTTGTTATAAATACATTTGAAGTTAAAAGACTCTAGCTTCTTTCGTTGGCCTTGATAATTTGCACAACTCTGCCTGAAGCTGATTCGATTTACATGCGTCAAATTGCATTTGTGCGTGTTTAGTTTAGGTGATGGCCATTTATATTAGTGGACTGTCTTATTTAAATGCTATAAGACATCGAATGAGGAAACATTCTGTTTGAGAGGTCATGATTATTGCTACAACATTTGCATTTAAATTTTCTCCAGACAATATCAGAATATCGCCGAATTTATTATTGTCTTTCTACAGCTTAATCGAGATCGTTTTTCCCTTTGCTCATTTAAAACTTTCCCAATAGAACTTTAGTAATTCAAAAAACTTTTGATTGATAATATATATGTAACAATTAGCGCTAATGCTCAAAATCGAATTGTATTTCAAAAAAGGTTCTTTTATTTAGAGTTAAGATTTGACGTAAGCCCACAAGATCTTGTACATATACCATATTATTTAAAAATTACATTTTAAAATTATATAATTGTTGAAATCTATTATTTGATCGATTATCCAGTACTAGTATAAGATAAAAAAAAGCAAAATAATTAGTATCATACATTTTACTATTCGTATTTGTCAAATTTGTAATTAAGCCTTAATTTGCAATTAAGCCTTTGTGGGAAACAACAATAAAATTTTAAATTTTAAACAACAAAAACACGCATAATACTATGAAACAAATAAGAACAAATGCAACACACAGAAGCAAATAAAAAAACAAAAACGACAACTCTAACATACGTATGTATTTGTTTTATCTTAGTGTCTTTCTATTCATTTGACTAATCTACACTATTCGTATACAAACAAGCCAATCACTCCCTACTTATATATAATAAATAATTAATATTATTCCCATTACAAAGAATATATTTTGTTAGTTTTAAGTCTGGGTGCTTCAATTGTATTTCAATTTCATTCTAACTTGAATAAACAAACAATAACAACAAAACATCACATACATCAAAGCTAGAATTTCCAATCTCTAGTCAATCTATAAGCTTAAATATATCCTTTTAAACTTTTTTTATTAATATAAAGTGTGAAACATACATACATATATAAAGAAAGATTTTAATTAATAAACAAGAAACATTCCTTTCAAATATAAAATATTCGTTTTAATTGACTGCAAAAAAATATATTTTTTATAGAATTTCGTGGTAAAAAAGTAACACTTACACCAAACCTATATTTACATTCGTAACATTTACATTCATTACATTTCGTTAAACTGTCCAATTTAGTAATCGCTGAAATCGGTACGTTATAGTTTACCGGATTTAGTAAACACAATGAATTGAAACTGTCAATTCCATGGTAGAAGAATATAGGTAGACACGTCGACACAGCTCCTGGGGCAATAAACTGTCAAACCAATTTTGGAATTGAAAATGTTGAATGAAAAACTATTTAAATTTGTAAAAATTGTTGAAAAATGCTAATTATAATAGCCTCCGAATGAGGCTATTATTTTATTAAAAATTTATTATTAAAAATCTACTTATATTTGAAAAAAAATTATATTTTTTTGACAAATCAATGCTCCCAAGCGTTGATGCATCTACCTGTATTCTTCTGCCATGGCCAATTCCATTGCATTTACGGCAAATAAATCCTCATAAAAGAGGATTTTGAAAAAATATATAACACTATTGAACACCAGAGATTATTCACCCCAGTGACAGCTATCGTTAGAGTATTTAAATGTGAATAAATCATTTGTGTCTCGTACCATCGCTCGTTACCGTGAGTATATACAGGGTGAGATGAAAAAATTGCAACCAACTTCAGACTGCTGTCATTCTAAGCCACTCATCCGAAAGCTGTTAAAATTATTCCAGTGACAGCTCATTATATTGTTTACAAGCGTACAAAAGAATTTTGGTGAGAATTTTCCAGAAAAAAAGTTATTTGTGATGGAATTTAAGCGTGATAGTGTGATTTCTTTATATTTGGCTGGAAAACCACAAGTAGCTATCGTAAAAGCACTCCAGCATTTAGATGTGAATAAATCTTTTGTGTCGTGCCATCGCCCGTTACCTGATACTGGAAGCGTAGCCCGACATCAAGGAAGTGGACGGAAGAAAACAGTGACACCAGCGTCGTAGTGGCCGAAAAATGCCTCGTAAGCTGAACATATCGCAATATTCCATTCGACAAATATTAAAAAATGAGCTCGGGGTAAAGCCATTGAAATTCTAAAAAGTGCAAGAACTTACACCGCAATATAAAGAAAATAGACTCAAAAGAGCTAAAGAGTTGCTTCGCTTGGCCGAAAGTGGTGAACTGCCGAAATTGGTATTCTCCGATGAGAAAACATTCGTTGTCCAGCAGTTTGTAAACAAAATGATCGTGTTTACTTGCCAAAGAGGTCAGCTGAAAATGTGAACCTTCGGTTGGCCACCAGACCTAAGCGCCGGCCATGGTGATGGTGTGGACCGCCATAACAGCTCTCCGCTCGTATTAATCGACCGTGGCATCAGAATAAATGCCAAATATTATAGCGAAAATATTCTGGAGGGTGTATTAAAGCCTTGGGCACGCAAACATTTTGGCCGCAGACTCAGCACGCGCCACCCAAGAATGGTTACAAAATGAGATTCCTCGCTTCATTCCCAGCGCACAATGGCCACCAAAATCTCCGGATACCAATCTGTTGGATTATTGTGTCTATAAATCTATTGTGGGGTGTATATCCAACTCTGAATTGATTTCCACCAAATTTGACTGAGGCATTTGCACCACACGTAGCAAGTAACATTGCTATGGGTAAGGTCATGGCAGAAGAATATAGGTAGATGCATCAACACTTGTAAACATTGATATGTCAAAAAATTTTAAATGTCTTTTCAAATATAAGTAAAATTTTATATGTTTTCTTATACGACGTCATTCGGAGGTTATTATAATACGCGTTTTTCAACAATTTTTACAAATTTAAATAATTTTTCGTTCAACATTTTTAATTCCAAAATTGGTTTGACAGTTCATTGTCCCAGCAGCTGTCTCGATGCGTCTACCTATATTCTTCTACCATGGGTAAGGTAGAGCTAACAGCTGATTACAATTTTTTTCTAAGTGTGCCCGACTTCTGCCAATTTTGTGTATGTATTTCTTGTTTTGAAAAATAAAAAAAAATATTTTCACAACCAATGATTGGAAGACACATAAATTGCGGCTCGCGCATTAAAGCTTTTAGCCAATATAGCCATGAAATTAAATGATAGAACAGTTAGGATCATATTTTTGAGAGAAAAATCCAGATATTTCATTCATTTTTCGCGCTTTTTAACTCGTTTGAAAAATGAGGAAAAATATGAAAAAAAATGAAAACAACAATTTTGAATGAGTCTGACAGGAAGCGGGCATAGCCTCAGGGCTGTATTTTTGTAGTTTTACGAAGCTGTTCTACCTCCTTATTGTACCACGCTATGGGGTGCATAATATTACTTCGAGAAGAATTGTATTAAAAAAACAAGTAAAAAAGAAGCTACATTCGGCCGGGCCGTACTTTTAGTACCCTCCGCTATTTGGAAGGAGCTTGAAAAATTAAAAAAAAAGTCCGTCAAAGAAAAGATTTAAAAGAAAGACATTATATGGGGGCTATACGAATTATTGGACCTGCCTAAGTACTTTTTTGTTACAGGCTTTAGTGCCCATTAAGATCTTCAAATAGAAATTTGAAACAATTCCGGTAATTAATGTTGCTAACTCTAGATTTTGTCGATGCATGCGTTGAAATGAACATTTTGAAAACACCCGAATTTGAATGTTTTCTGAACATTGTACCCATGGTACAATGATATCAAGGTAGGGCTATGATACCATATGATTTTAATTTTTTTATTTTCTTGGCCTAATACGTCATCTTTTTTGTTTATGTATGTGTTTTCTTTTCAATAACAAAAAAATTGTTCAGAAAAAATGCAATTTCGTGTGTTTTCAAAATGTTCATTTCAACGCATTCATCGACAAAATCTAGAGTTTTTGTAGCAAAATAATCCTTTAGAGATATATAGTACATGATTTTGAAAAGAAGTGTTGACCTTTCATTCAGTTATCACGGTTTTCAATTATTTATTCAAAATAAATGCAACAAGTTTTTTGATTTTTTATTGTTTTGATACTAATTTTGACATTACAAGCCAAACAGGTAGACCTCTATACTTGCAATTTTTTCAAAGTTGACCTACCTTCTCTTCATTGTACCATGAATGTAACCATTGTTCCAAAACCCGCAAGGTAAAATGAACTTAAAAGGTAATGAACCGCAAGGTAAAATGAACTTAAATTTTTAAATTGAACCATGGTACAGTGATATCAAGGTAGGGCTATGATACCATATGATTTCAATTTTTTTATTTTCTTGGCTTAATATGTCATCTTTATTTTTTTATGTATGTGTTTTCTTTTCAATAACAAAAAAATTGTTCAGAAAACATTCAAAAATTCGGATGTTTTCAAAATGTTTATTTCATCGTATGCATTGACAAAATCTAGAGTTTTTGTAGCGAAATAATCCTTTAGAGATATATAGAACCTGGTTTTGAAAAGAAGTGTTGACCTTTCATTCAGTTTTCGCGGTTTTCAATTATTTATTCAAAATAAATGCAAACAAGTTGTTTGATTTTTTATTGTTTTGATACTAATTCTGAAATTACAAGCCAAACAGGCAGACCTCTATACTTGCAATTTTCTTCTCTTCATTGTACCCATGGTACAATGAAGAGAAGGTAGGTCAACTTTGAAAAAATTGCAAGTATAGAGGTCTACCTGTTTGGCTTGTAATGTCAGAATTAGTATCAAAACAATAAAAAATCAAACAACTTGTTGCATTTATTTTGAAAAAATAATTGAAAACCGCGATAGTTGAATGAAAGGTCAACACTTCTTTTCAAAATCATGTACTATATATCTCTAAAGGATAATTTCGCTACAAAAACTCTAGATTTTGTCGATGCATACGTTGAAATAAACATTTTGAAAACACCCGAATTTGAATGTTTTCTGAACAATTTTTTTTGTTATTGCAAAGAAAACACATACATAAACAAATAAAGATGACATATTAAGCCAAGAAAATAAAAAAATTGAAATCATATGGTAGTTCTGCCCTACCTTGATATCATTGTACCATGATTGTACCATGAATTGAACTGGAAATTTCATCATCGCAGTTGTACTAAATACATGGTAGAAGAATACAGGTAGATGCATCAACGCTTGCGAACATGATATGTCCAAATGTTTTGTCATCTCTGGACTCAGTAAAGGTATTAGCACAAATTGTAGCATTTTGGAAAGGTGAGAGTATCAGCTATCAATTACCATCAATTTTGTTCACCTCATAATGGGCCCTTTTTTGACTTTTTGGGGTTTTATAAAAAATCCGGGTCCAAAAAATCAATAATTTGACTATAACTTCCAAACCTTGACGACTTACCCCATAATGTGACGACTTGTTGGATAGGTATTTTCATAAACTTAGAATACCTATATTGTCTATATCGGGTAATTGGATCCGGGTCCAGGGTCCGGGTCTTGAATACGGAATTTCCTTTCAAAAATCTGGGTTCCCAGTACCGCCCCCAAGAAAAAAATATTTCCCGGAATCAGGGTAAAAATACCTACCACTGGAAAAAATGAAAATAAACAAGTAAAAAAGCTGTAAGTTCGGCCGGGCCGAACTTTTAATACCCTCCACCGTTTGGTACAAATTTGGCAATTTCCAAAAAATAAAACCCGTTCAAAATTCTGTTAAAATCTTAAAAATACCGAATGCTTATACGACGACGTGGGCCTGCATAGGCAACTTTTGTCATAAATTATTACAATATTTAAATGCGAAACTTGAAGAAAAATCTGTTTATAATGTAGCTAAAATCGTCAAAATACCGAATATGGGGGGTACCGTTATATGGGGGCTATACGAAGACGTGGACCTGCACAGACAATTTTCTGGCATGGGCTGAAGTATCCATTACGAACTTCACATACGAAATTTGAAACAATCCCTGTAAATAATGTCGCTAAAATCATTAAAATACCAAATATCGGGGGGTTCCGTTATATGGGGGCTATATGAAGGCGTGGACCTACATGGCTCATTCTTTGACTTTGGATGAAGTATCCATTACGAACTTCAAATACCAAATTTGAAACGATTCCGGTAAACAATGTCGCTAAAATCACCAAAATACCGAATATCGGGGGTACGGTTATATGGGGGCTATACGAAGACGTGGACCTGCACAGACAATTTTCTGGCATGGGCTGAAGTATCCATTACGAACTTCACATACGAAATTTGAAACAATCCCTGTAAATAATGTCGCTAAAATCATTAAAATACCAAATATCGGGGGGTACCGTTATATGGGGGCTATATGAAGACGTGGACCTACATGGCTCATTCTTTGACTTTGGATGAAGTATCCATTACGAACTTCAAATACCAAATTTGAAACGATTCCGGTAAACAATGTCGCTAAAATCACCAAAATACCGAATATCGGGGGTACGGTTATATGGGGGCTATATGAAGACGTGGACCTACATGGCTCATTTTTTGATTTAGGATGTAGTATCCATTACGAACTTCAAATACCAAATTTGAAACGATTTCGGTAAACAATGTCGCTAAAATCATCAAAAAACCGAATATCGGGGGGTACCGTTATATGGGGGCTACAGGAAGACGTGGACCTGCACAGATAATTTTCTGTCTTAGGCTGTAGCATCCATTACAAACTTCAAATGCCAAATTTGAAATAATTCCGGTGAATAATGTCGCTAAAATCATCAAAATACCGAATATCGGGAGGTACCGTTATATGGGGGCTATATGATAACTTGGACCTACATGGCCCATTTACGAACTTAACCTGCCTACTGGGAAAAAATACATGTGTGCAAAATTTTAGCCTTCTATCTCAATTTGTTCGAAAGATAGCGTGATTACAACAGACAGACAGACAGACGGACGGACGGACAGACAGACACACAGACAGACAGACGGACATGGCTAAATCGTCTTAGAATTTTACGCTGATCAAGAATATATATACTTTGTTGGGTCTGACATGAATATTTCGAGGAGTTACAAACGGAATGACAAAATTAATATACCCTCCATAGTATGGTGGAGGGTATAAAAACTTTGCATATTCAAGATAATTTGTCTTGTGTAAACGCAAGATAAGTTTCAAATTTGAGAGCGAACCACCGGCCATCTGATTGCGTTTCCTTGTCTCATTCGTAAACAACAGATGTTTCGCGTGTTATGCATTACACTCGTTCGTAAACAGTGTGTTACGTTTCGTTTTTTTTTTTTTTTTCATCTTGCTAGATTGGATTTGTTTAGAAGATGGACCAACGACAGGACTCATTGAATTTGAGAGAACTTATTTTAAATACCAGGGCACCAATTGTTTTGAAGAACTATGATCATCAGTGGAATTGTTTCAAAGATGGTCTAAAATCGTGGTGTAAGCATTTAGACGAACTTTGCCCTGATCTTCTGCAATTTGAAAGAATAGCTTTGGATGAGACATGCGAACCACAATGGGAACGCAAAAGGACAATTAAAGAAATGACTGCATTACAATTTTTAGATGAACACGCCAATGATTGTAGCTACTGGTCTGGTTTAAATTACAAACGCAAAAATGAATTCCCTGCAGAATGTTCCAAAGGTATTGATTTTGGGTGTTTTGGTTTCCCCCATGCCACCGATGATTGCACTTTTTGGTTGAGCTCAAAGGGTGCCAATACCCCATGTCACTATGATACATATGGATGTAATATTGTAGTGCAGGTTTTCGGAAGGTGGGTAAAATATGATTTTAAAAGATAAATTTCAAATGTACTTACCCAAAACATAAGGAATTACAGTTGAATAAAAATTTGCTGTTGGTAGGATCCGGTCTTGATACATATATGTACATATATTTATATCAAAAACTCTTTACTTGAGCAATGTTTCTTATGAATTTCATATTTAAGGAAATCATGGCTATTGTTCCCCCCAAACAATTCAGTCTTAACGCCCACTCGAATACCCTATGAAGAATCAAGCATATACTGTAAAGAAAATTTATATGCACCCAATGCCTGGGAATGTGGCAAACTTGGGAATCTAAAAGGACAATGCTATCGTTGTATACTTGAACCCAATGATGTTCTAATTGTACCTAAACATTGGTGGCATTACGTTGAGGCAATAGAAATATCATTAAGTGTAAATGCATGGATTCCTTTGAACTGCGATATTGATAATCAAATTGAAGAATGTATTACGAAACAAATAATGGAAACATTTATGCAAAACTCAAGTGATAACATAAAATCGTTTGTTTTGAATCCAAATGAAGTAAGTAATATAAAACCTTAATAGAATTTTGTCATTGCAATTATTCGTGTTTTACTTACAGCTAACATCTTTCACAAACAACGAGGATTTATTTGATATCTTAGAATATTTATTGGAGCAAAAGCTATGTGAAAAGAGTCAAGACAAGTGTGCCAAAGGGAACGTTATACGCTATCAATATCAGTATTTAAATGAATCTAAAGTGGAAGTTTTAAAACATTCTTTTACAGACTTATATGAAGTTCCAGTCATGTCAGATGATGAATGGAGACAATATTTGAAATCTCAAAGCTTCCGTTTACATTTATTGACAGGAAAGAAAGATAATAAAAGCCGTCTAAGAGACATTCAAGAAGCAATGCTTAATAGTTTATGCAGCCCTACTGTTGTTGAAACTATTAAAAAAGAATTGTTTTGTCGTTACAGCGAACTAAAAAACAATAAATAAAACTCTAGTGATCTTCTAGGGAATAATTTTAGAATAAGAAATTTTTAATTAAAAAAATATAAATTAAAAAACATCGAGAAGGCAATGCTTAATAGCATATGCAGTCTTTCTGTTGAACTAAATAAAAACAACAAATAAAACTCTAGTGATATTTTAGGGAATCGTTTTAGAATAACAAATTTGTACATGAAAACCATATAAATCAGGGACATATGTTGAGAGGGGTCGGAAATAATAATTTGTTGAATGTATTCAAAAATTTATTCCTATGGAACAAACATAGCATTTTATGTCTGCTGTTTTCAATTAAATGAAACTTCAATTTGTATAGGAAAAGAATCACAATTAAACCAAGGTTCTGAAAAAAAGACGAATCAATTACTAGTGTTAGAGACATCTGGGACATCAGGTTCAAAACTGATAGTTCAAGAAAACCGCATTTAGACTTTTAATTTCAGTGGTTTTCAAAGCGGAGTCATCTTTTTAAATCAACAGATATAAGTTTGTTCTGAATTTCCCATTGGTCTCCTGTTTCTCTTAAAAATGTAAAACAAATAATAATTATTTTTTTAAAGATAAATATGTATGTGTCTTTATTATGAATATTTGTGTAACATAAAAAATTCAGTATACTTATAATAAATCACTAAATGGTTGCCTTTTAATTTTGTCCTACATTAAACACCATTTATTATTGTTTAGCATTGATACATGTGTTTTAAATTATAAGCACAAACATGTGAGATTATAACTTAGTTCAAAGAATTGTGAATTGTGTAAAACTTAACTGTTCTGTTGTGATTTGATCAGAATACATGATAAAATTCATTGAATGAATTAAATTTTGACAATAATAATAAAATAAAAATGTAAAAAACAAATATATAAATCGATATTGGTATAAATATCTACTTATTCGCAGTAATATAAACGCTTAATTTACCAGCCTGGTGGTTTTTGATTTGGATAGCCACCCTGCTGTTGTGAAGCAAAGCTGCCCGGATAGGTGCCATAGTGACCAGGTGGTGGGCCCTGAGGGAATCCAGGATATTGATAACCTATAAAAGTAATTTTAATTTATTTGTTTATTCAATGCATTCCTTAATACTAAAGCATTCAAGGCATGAAGGCTTATTAAAAATTATAAATAGAATACTTACTGCCCGGATAAGGCAATGTAGCATATGGATTGAAGCCCTGCGGCATTGGAGGTGGTACATAAGATGGGTAGGGTACATTAGCTGTGGCACCATATGGCATTGGCATTCCCTGAACTGCCTGTGGATAAGGCACATTTCCTGATGGTGCGGTTGAGGGTGGAGACGATGATGGAAGATCTGAAAGTAATTCCGAAAGAAGTTAGTAACATATACATCTTACTACAATGCTCAATGTTATATCTCACCACTGCCACTTCCGGAAGTTGAAGCATAATGTGATGGTAGGGTGGGAGTTGGTCCGGCAGCTTGTCGACTGGATTCTGTGGTCAAATCTTTAAGCAATTCCTCCTTCTCAGTTTTGCGTGCAAAACAGAAGTCGGATATTTTGTTTTGAAATACTACCAACAATTCGGTCAAGTCATTGTAGAATTTGGTACCCTCTTTGAGATTACCCAACAATATGATAAAACTATCGTAGGCTGTTGCCAATTCTTGACATAGAGTATCTCTCGAAGTACTACTGGTACCAGTTTCAGAAACGAATTCGCTGTGAGCGATTTGAATATCAGAAACCAATGTTTGTTGGCGCTCAATGCTTTCCTTAATTTGTTGTTGCAATGGCTGTAATGTTTCACCAATACGTTTTAATGACAATGCTGGTTCATCGATAGCGCCGTCCTTACGCAAAGCTTCCAAGAATTCATTTTTCATATCGAATGTTGTAGACTTAAGTTCAGATTCTATAACATCACGCTCGGCTTTTATTGTTTCCACTGATTCCATAAGTTGTTTTAATTTCTGTACGCTTGCGCAGTTGGGATCTACGCTGCCACCAGATGCGGGCATAGCCTGTTGCAATTGATCAATGGGCAAGGAGAGCAGCTCAATGCCCTTTTGGTTCTTCTCGAAACGCTCGCGTACAATTTTATCCGCGGCCACAGCATTATTTATAACTTCGCGGTACTTCTTTGCATTGGTGCGGAACATTTCTGTCAATTTGTCAGAAGATATACGTGTCCATTTCTCTTTGAATTGAGAACGCAATTGGTTATCCGAATCACGCTCTTCATCCAACATTCTTTCGGTTTCATCTAATATCTCACGATTGCGATTAAGCAACTCGGGAAGCTCCTTCAAGTAGGCATTAAGGGCATCAATGCCTCCCTTCTCGCGTACTTCGTTTGCTTTCTCAATCAAAGATGGTGGCACACAAGACCCTCCGTCAGTGGTTTCTACCGCTGCCGGAAGATTAAGGCTAGCCAATACAACATTCAGTGTTTGTGTAGCATCTCGAAGTTTCATAATTTCTGTGTTAACAATTTCATTCTTGCGCATATCGGATGCCTGCATGGCACGGTGCAATTCTACGGGAACCAAACCCTTGAATACATCATCAAAGTCTTTGGCCATTGGTGATGACATGGCCAAAGGTTTTGCCAATTGAGCTTTACCAGTAGACTGTAAGGTTGTTACGTCCGGGATCATTTCGTTATAAATTAAGTCGTTGTCCTTCACAGACTCTGCCAAGTTTCTCTTAGCCTTGTTAAAATATTCATCTAAATACGTGGGATTTCCAGATCGTGTCTGCGCTGCCTTGAAAAGATCAACGGCATTTCTCAAACGAGATATTTCTTCACCAATCTTCTTAGCAGCACGGCAGCTCAAACTTTGATAGAGTTGTGTTAGTGCATGGAATCCAGCTTGTTTACCAGCAATTGTTGGTATCCATTCTTTTTCCCACAAATTGCGTACAGATTCTTTTTGCATGGCACGCAGAACATCAGCATAGAATTCTTCGCATTGGCAGCAAAGTTTAGCAATTATATTTTCCTTCATGTTTTCTACAAAGGATAATAAATGATAGTAATTATTTAGGACTATCACATGATTTTCTGCTACTAAATATAATAACAAAATGAGCTAATAGAATTGAATATAATATAGCTGTAAAGAAATTATATAAAAATTCTCATTTACCTTTTATTGCTTTCATAACAAAAACTTCCTGGGCCTGTGATACCATTAACGCTTGCAAAACTGTTAATGTATCCTGGTTCAAATCAGGCGTGGGCTCAGAGGGAACTGCAGCTGGAACAGCTCCTTTCAAATACTGAAATATACCGGCACTTTGTTGGAACAACTTAATGGCCAGTTTTAATCCTTCATCACTGTCCATTGGTTGCATAGCAGCCACATGCGATTGCAGAGCAGCAATGTTAAAAAGAACACATACTTTTTCATAAGACAAGGATGTATGAGCTGTAAATAAAAATTCACTTTACATTATTTATGAACATTAAAGTAAATAATGATTAATCATACTTAAACTGATACGACCCCCAAAAATGGAGCCTTTATCAAAAGCATCCTTCCATTTAAATGGTATTTGTAGCTCATTAACCGGTATTTTTGTTTCCAATGCCGAAATCTGGTCATAGTAGCTGCAATTGAAAAAAATAAAAAATAACGACAAAAAGTAAATGATAAAGCAAAAATAATTTATTATTTATAAGATAACAAGAGTAATTTTTTCCGTGATTAATTAATAATATGTGTTTATAAGTAGCAAAACATACACCGTACAAGAACGACGTCATTCATAGCTCATAGTATTTGCTTTTTTTTTTCTTTTTTGTGAATGAGTCACTCTAGCATCCATATAATTTTGATTTTTTATATTAAAAACTAAGTCGATATTTGCTTAAAAACATTTTTACACTCACGCATAAACTATTTCCAATGAAGATTCGTATTTTTCGAAAAACTTCCAAATTGCTGAATTACGCTGCCGGGCGAATTGTTGAACGGCAGCTTTATAGGATTCTTTTGCTTCAGCTGAGGCACCACTATATGTTGATTGGATGAGATTGTTGAGGGGCTTCTCAATATCCACCTCTGCTGGTTTCTTAAGGGGAACACCCAATAATTTCGACATTTTTAACTATGCTTTTTATCCGTATCGTTTACGCAATGCTTTAATTAAAATTCCTATCCTCTCACTTTTCCCACTTTTTGTCTTAAAGTTCAGCGAAGAATTTCCAGCTCCACACTTGAAGTAACAGAATTGCTGACGAGAAGTTCGGCAAATGTTTACGAATGTCTAGCTTTACAATAACAATAAGCATTAGGGATACGTAGATCAACATCGAATAATCGATTTTTCGTTCCTGTCCATGGTTGTGTTCCAGAACCTTTTATTAGTCAAAAAACGCACCGATTTTTAGTCTGTTCCAAAACTGCAATATTGTAAAAATTTTTACAGGACTGGAATAGAGCATTTATTTTTGTATGGCCTATTATTACATCTTTCCGATAGATAAAAAAAATTAATGTTGTCGAACAAATAAACAGTTTTTCTTTATTACAAGTTTCATTTAAATATGAACTGTCCGATAAGCAAAAGTTCAGACCATCTCTCCTTTATCTTTTAACGTAAAGTTTACTTAATTCATGTTGCCATATTTTATATTCATAGGCCCGTTCTTATATATTTCCTTTATAGTCCACTTTTGTTATCCCTTACTTTAGGAAAAGTGAAGTATTAAGTTCACATTATGGGGTTCTCATTATTACATCTTTCCTTTAAAATAAATGCATTTTTTACAGAGATATGGTAAGATTTTTGTAAAAGTAACTAGTATTCACTGCATCTTCCGTTGTGTTTAAAAATAATAAACGAAATGCGGGTTTGTAATTAATTTCGTGAAATAAATTTATGATTTTTTTTTTATTTAAATAAATTTTGCTGTTTTGCCATACTATCAATAAAAAATATGGAAACATGAATTTAGTAAACTCTACGTTAAAAGATAAAGGGAAGATGTTCTGACCTTTTGCTTATCGGACAGTTCATACTTAAATGAAACTTGTAATAACGAAAAACGATTGTGTCTGACAACATCACTTTTTTATCTATCGGTAAGATCATGGTAGAAGAATATAGGTAAACGCGTCGACACAGCTGCTGGGACAATGAACTGTCAAACCAATTTTGGAATTGAAAATGTTGAATGAAAGATTATTTAAATTTTTAAAAATTGTTGAAAAATGTGAATTATAATAGCCTCCGAATGTAGTAGTATAAGAAAACATATAAAAATCTACTTATATTAAAAAAAAAAAAAAAAAAACATTTAAATTTTTTCGACATATTAATGCTCTCAAGCGTTGATACATCTACCCATGGTACAATGAATTCAAGGTAGGGCAGAACTACCATATGATTTAAATTTTTTTATTTTTCTGGCTTAATATGTCAACTTCATTTGCTTATGTGTGTGTCTTCTTTTCAAAAATAAAAAATTGTTCAGAAAATATTCAAATTCGGGTGTTTTCAAAATGCTTATTGCAACGAATGCATCGACAAAATCTACAGTTTTTGTCGCGAAATAAACCATAAGAGATATATAGAACATGATATTGAAAAGAAATTTTGACCATTCATTCAGTTTTCGCGGTTTTAAATTATTTATTCAAAACCAATGCAACAAGTTGTTTGCTTTTTTATTGTTTTGATAGTAATTCTGACATTACAAGCCAAACAATTGCAATTTTTTCAAAGTTGACCTACCTTCTCTTCATTGTACCATGCATCTACCTGTATTTTTCTACCATGGTAAGATGTAATAACCGGCCATAATATGGCAATGCCAGCAAAATGTGTTTAAATAAAAAATGGATAACGTAAATAGTTATTTTATGTTAAAGAATTAAAAAAAGGATTAATTCACATATGGTAATAAAAAATGGATAACGTAAATAGTTATTTTATGTTAAAGAATTAAAAAAAGGATTAATTCACATATGGTATGTTCCAGAAATGCAAGAATGTAAAAGTTTTTACTACGATAATCGATTTCCCTTGATAATATCGAAAAACATTGCAAAAATAGAAGATTCTTGCTGGTTTTGGAACAGACCAATTTTAACCAAGGTAATATCATGCTATAATACGATTACAGTTTTTTTATTTTTTGTTCCTTAATTGTCAAATGCATATTTTTTAGATCTTCCTTAAGTATGGGCCTTAAGAATAAAATATAAAAGAGGAAACTAAAATATTAAGTTGATAAGTCATGTAAAACCCAATTATGGAATGTTTGAATTTTAGTTCGCTTAGGACAAGTATGAAGACAATAGCTCGCCTTGTTTTCCAAAATATTAGTAGATGATTGATATCTGTTATTTTCAGTTAAATTGGCATTTTTTTTTTTTTTTCAAAAATTGTCAGTGTAAGTTTTCATTTTAGTACTGAATTAATTTATATTGTTTTCCCATATTAATTATTAAAAATTGAACAATCTTAATTATTAAAAATTGAAAAATGTTGACGCCTCATAAGCTTTTCGCGTTTTAAAATATTGTGAAAGTTTTAAATATATTTAATGTTCGAAGTTGTCTTTTTCATATTTTAACAAACCACCCTGCCTTCTAATTAAGGTATCATGGAAGAACCATGGTACAATAAAAAGGTGTGCCCGACTTCTGCCAATTTTGTATATATATTTATTGTTTTGGAAAATGAAAATATCATACTTCCAAAACCAATGATTGCACGACACGTACATTGCGGCTCGGGCTTTACACCTATTAACCACTTTAGCCATGACATTCAAGGATTGAACAGTTTGGAACATATTTTTAAGAGAAAATCCAGGCATTTCATTTTAAAAATGAGAAAAAATGAAAACAACTTGTTGTATATAATTTTGAATAAGTCTGACAGGAAGCTGATATAGCTGTATTAATTGTAGTTTTAATTGTAGTTCTACCTCCTTATTGTACCATGGGAAGAACCCATGGTAGAATAATACAGGTAACAGCAAGAGTTTTTGCACGTAACACAAATTTCTTTTTGAACGTAATACAAGTGTTAGAATTATATATCCAAAAATGCAAGCAAAACAATTATTTTTCCATAAATAATTATACCATACGAAGATCTCAAGACAGCGTAGTGGACAGTGCATATCAGTACCATCCTCCTATCAGAAAATGCTATTCATTTTCTTAATGTTCTTAAAATTCCCTAAAGCCATGCATGTACAAGGTGGCGTAAGAGTAAACTTCCGATGTTTTTTGGCTGTAATCAAGACATAAAGGTGAGAATACATAAAATGCTTTTATAAAAACTCATAGCACAAGGTAACCTTCTTAATTCTATTATGTTTTGGTCTGTTTTCTGCACTTGAAATCTCTAAAAATGTAACTTCGATATCTAATTTTACCTTTATGACATCGAAAAAATTGTAGAAATACTAATTTCTTGAACGCTGCTGTTACAATTTTTATAAAATTTACAATATATTTTCATTTTATTCCAATAGTTTCCAAGACTTCTCGCATTACTAAGTATGAATTGTAAAAAAAATAAGTTTATTAAAAATGGACAAAAGCCTTTACAGGTTGTTTTTTTTTTAAACTTCTATTTTGCCCACCAGACCTAAGTTGTTTATTGTTTATTACAAAACAAAAACAGGTCGTATTTGAACAACAAATAGGATATACAAACTATCAAAAACACCCATTACCTTTGCAATATTCGCAAATTATTTCACCCTTTCGGTCTCTTGAGAACAGAATTCTGTATGGATATTAATGATTGGGCTGTACGAAAACAAAATGAATTCTCTTCCACTGGAATGACGTTGATTTATTGATAAAATTATACACCTTAATCAATCAATGTATAAAAACTTGTGAAAATAATTAAATCTTAGTAAATAAAATACATGGTGGTGTTGGAGGTATGTTCACAAGTGAAGTACTTCGAGTAAAAAAAAACATGCGGACAATGTTGATACTCTCAATCTGAGTCGTCGGAAATTTCATAAACCTTTTGTTTAGTTGCTGCTTTCCTTGAATTTATTCCCATGCTTATAAGACTTTGCTGACGAGGTGATGAGCGCTGTAATCAATTATTTGGTATGGAAATTAAAAATGTTCACCGAACCAAAATGTATTCAAAATAAACTTACGGTGGACGGAGATACTTCCACGGCTTTTGATCGTCCACTATTTGCTGTAGCTCCTGTACGTGTTGCATTTTTCGATGGTGTTGTTGTTGCGGCACCACCACGAGCAGCTCGACCCCTAGTCGCTCTACCACGACCTCTTGCGGTAGATACATCTTCTTTTGTATTTTTCGTTGAACGTGTATTTTTCAAAGGTGCTTCGTCACTGTCATTATCACTAACCTCTTGGTAATTAGCCGTCGTAGCATTTCTGGCGACTGACGAACTAGATGTTTTCGTAATGGGATTGGGAGCAACGGTTTTTAACATATGCAAAACATCGTCTGAAGTTATGCTTAATTTGAAATCTTGAAGTTCGGTATCCAGTTGATCTTCCAAAGGCATTTTTTCCATTAAATAATCAACGGCCTTAGCTTTATAAGATCTGTATTTAGTTTTCAGGTTGTATTAAATTTGTGAAGCAATAAATGCAAATGGAAAGAAAATTATAATCACCGTATTAAATTATCAGCTGCGTTATTGTCCTTGCGATCCACAAGTTGATTACACAATTCCGTAAGGGCTTTTGTAGATATAACTTTGAGGGATTTGCTTTCATCAACTTCATTGAAATAACGTTCGACTAAATCCTCAACACGAGTAAAAGATTCTCCCTCCTAAAAGTATAAAATATTTATGAACGAAAGCTGAATATGTTAGTGATTGCTGTGATATACATAAAAGAATTAATAAATATTCGTTCAGTATATCATGAATATCATTAAATTTAAAACTTACAAGTTTCTTATGTTGATTTTTCATCTCTTCTCTATCGAGATTTGAACGCTCCTTCTTTTCCTTCTTAATCATTTTTTTAAAGTGTATCATATCGGCAGGATTTGCCACTCGGTCGTTAAATGTTTGTCCTAAACGAATGCCGTTGAACATTTGTTCTTCGTCATTAAAACAAATCCTCAAACGGACATTGGGCACTGTTGGCTGCCTGGGATGGCCTGTTAGGAGACTTTTCGATTTCTCTAACATTGCTTCAACTCTTTCTTCAGCCATTGCACGTACTTTATTCGAAACATCTCCTTCGTCTAAGCGCAATTCTTGTGCCAAATCTGCAACATTAACTGATTCAAACACGAATGGTCGAACAGTCTGTAGAGGAATCGGCTTCATTTTAAACTTGTCTTTGTAGATTTCTAAAACTGCTACATGTTTGCGTATCGCTTCTCCCTCTGACAGGGAGGTAGGTACTGTAGAACCTGGTTGGCTCACGTAGAAATCCCGTTTTGCATTGAGTTCGGGTTCTATGCGACAGTCATGCTCATGGCCCCATATAACCAAATGCAAAAAGTCTGGCAAAGACTCTTCAGGCAAGTAATTTTTAGGCCCCCTATCAGCGCGGTTCTGATGTAGTACCATTAAGTGAAACCATTCCCCCTCCTCGCCTTCGGGCACTTGCATATGTACTTTACGGCTTTCAAACAGACGGGCAAGGCGATTGTCATGAATGTGGCTAAGGCCATATAGAGCCAACTTTGTGGCACCTTTTTTCAGTATAATTGGTGAAATGTCAATTTTATTTAAATCCGTCCAGCGGCCAAAATAGTTCACCAAACCAGTGGTAGATAATAAATCCAATGTACTCAAACCTCCAAAAACACTGGGATCGTCATGGTTTCCATGTATGGAATATACGGGTATGGATATGTTCAAATTGGGATCCTCATAATTGACACTTTCGTTAACAGAGTTGTGAAAATTCTGACTTCCATCACTTAAAAATTCTACAGATATTGGTCGATCTCCGAAGGTATACATTCGTAATAGCTTCATGCACCTGAAATATATACGTACACATTAATATAATTTATGATTATGTGTTACTAGCAAAATCGTAGGTACTCACTTGTGCAATGCATTTTGTGTCGGTACAGCATCATGGAATAAATCGCCACCAAGAAGTATAAAGTCGACATCTTCTCTCACGGCCAATTCCAACATTTCCTCAAAGGCTATGAAGCTATCTTCACCTAAATGCAAAATAAACAAATTGCCGGTAAATCATGTTCTTTGTTTAGGCGGTAGAAGGGCGGCATCGATTGATGTTTTGTGCCTTACCTCTGATGGCGTCTTTTTCACCGTAACCCAAATGATTATCAGTGGATATCATAATACGCATAACATCCGCCTGATTATCAATTTCGGTTTCATTATTTATGTTTTCGGAATCCATATTTTACAATATTAGGTTATATATTTTAATTATAGCGCCCTTAAATGCAAATATTTTTCACAAAATCACAAACTGCAGCTAATAACAAACGCTAACTGTGCTATTCACGCTGAAATGGTAGCACACATATTATGTATACAAAATATCAAAATATGCAAAATTTGCTGTACAGTTGCAACTTTCGCGCTAAAAACCAATGCAAGGAGGTTCACATGTGGTATACCACATGTTGACATTTACATGTAGTCGTCCCAAATGAATTGCAAATTTGTGTGAATTGCAAATCAGCGATCTGTTCCAGAACCTGCAAGAAAAAATATAGAAAATATAGAAAGAATGTAAAGAATTTACCACGATAAATTGGGTTTCCTTTATGATATTGTAAAAAATGATAAAACTGGTAAATACTTGTAGATTCTGTAACAGCCAATTGTTCAATGACAAAAGTTCAACAAAAATTATTTAACACCTTAATCTTAAGTTTAATAAAAATGTTATGTTAAAATGCCCAAGGGGTGTGCTTTAGAATTCAACCGAGTGGCAAAATATCTCATTCTGCGTTTTTTGTTTTTATAGCGAATATAAGTTTATTTTTATTTATATTTAGAATTCTTAGGAGTAAGTTGAGTTTAGTGGCTATGTTCCGGAGTAAGGTAAGAAAATTGGTATTTTTATACGAGTACTTTTTTAAAAACCCTTAAAACCAGAAAATGGACCCATGGTGTTAAGATCTACATGCTACAGTATAGCCTATATTCTTGCCTTTCCAAAATTGTATCATATGTTCCAAAGATATTTGCGATGAAAATCATAAGATTGAGATTTTCTCCACTAATATGTATCTAACCTTTTTTAAGTAGCCGGACTTCGGCCGGTGCTTAAAATTTTCTCCCCTGTTGTATGTCCAACATCGGCAACGCGATCCATTGTTTTACTAAACACTCTAACAATTGAAGGTTGCCGGCCTTTGGCCGGGGCTTGAGGTTTTCTCTTCTGGGGTATGTCTAATCCGGCAACGCGATACATAGTTTTTCTAAACATTGTAATTTTTGTAAGTAGATGGTCTTCGGTTAAAAAGATCTACACGTAGTTAAAATTTCAGGTCAATTCTTGCAGGTTCTGGAACAGAGCAGTAACCGGCAAAATAATCAAAATGAGATGGATTTATTTATTTTTAGTTCTGGAACAGAGCTATAATTTCTGCAATCGGTTTCAATCCGATAAAAATTTGTATTGTTTATTGTAATTATTCCGAACCCCTCTTATAAGTTTATTTACATTACTGATACGTGTGAACCCTTGATTTATTAAAGACAGCGCGCAGGCCGGGATAGCATAGATTTTCACAATGAACCAAGGAAAATGTTCTAAGGAACTTTTTAAAGTAAATTATAAAGAATTGCCCGAAACGATATGCGTCGAGACGAGATTTATAACAAGAAATGGGGCCCAACAGAAGAAAGATCAGCCTTTGTATTATATGAACGTTAATCGTGGACAAGTTGAGCTGTCCAGGTACGAAGCACCGCATTCACCAAATATGGGAACAAATATTATTTCCAATCAATATAAAAATATGCCAGTGGTTAAAACTAAACAACCAATGGTCACTGTGAGTGTTAGAAATAAAACGCCTGTAACATCGGTAATGCCACCAAATACAAATCTGCAGCCACCTCCATACATGAATACAATTCCACCAGCACAAGTTGTAACCGTGCAGCCACCATTAAATATGAGTATTAGTGCTCCGTATAATATTAGTATGTTGCCGGATGTTTCGAATGTTATGAGCACCGTTTCCACTCCACAGTCAACAGTCACAATACCCTTAGCTAATCCTGTCTTGCCAAATATGGGATTTAATTCACCATCGCTTTTTCTCAAACCTCCGGTGCAAACAAAGGATTCCGAATGTATGACTGAACCCAAAGCTTCAGTTGTACATTTTGGTCAGCAAACTGATGAGCCTATTTCTAAAGTTGACACAGCCATTCAGTGCAATATGGACGATGTTTATTTCTTTGAGGAAATAAATGAAGACTTTAATGATGGTCAAAACTCTTCGGTGCCCCAAAAAACAATAGAAGAGGAAAAAGAAGATTTCTTAAAGTACGTGAAAGAAAATTCCGTGGAATACAAAAATCACTTTTGGGAATGTTTAATATGTGGGGAGGTTTGTAAAAAGTTCAAATATTTCTATGGACACATGGCAGTACATAGAGGACCTCAAGTTTTATGCTATGTATGTGGCCAATACCTAGACCACGAATCACTCATGGAAAAACACAATTGCAAGAATTCCAAACGGATTTGTCGAGCCTTGCTTCGCTGTCCCGCATCGCCATTCTGCAAAGTTGTGGCCATTTCTCGTTTGGAGCTATACGATCACATCAATGAACATAAGAAATATCGCGTTCATAGTTGTTCTGCTTGTCATAAAGCATTTTGTACTGCACAAGAATTTTTGCGACATTTGCTTCTGCGGGCTCAATGCTATACCGATGCTAGGAGGAATCGTAACCGTTTGTATGGACTGAAAACCAAATCAGAAAGACTTTGTAGGGTACGAGTTTCTACTTTGCACACCCTCTCAAATCGAACAACCATGATAAAACGTCCATTAAATACTAGACGTAAAAGTAACAGAAACCTCTGTGAAATTTGTTTTAAGTCTTACCGGAATAAGTTCATCTACAAGCGACACATTAAAAAGTGTGCCAAATTATTTAAAAAACGCTCGTCCAAAAGACCCACTAAAGTATTAAATAATGATAAATAACAATGAGTGTATCTTACAACTGTTCATAACCACACATATGTAATGAATTGCATAGAATGGTTTCCTTTTTCGATCGTCATTTATATCCATTTCAAATATATCTAATACCTCAAGCTACAAAGAATTTAATTTATCCGAATTATTTTCAAATAACAAGTGACGTCATAAACAAAAATTGTTGTATGGTCAACTTTTTTAATTGTTTGTTTCCTTTTTAAACTATTATTTAATTTAATATCATAAATGAACTATTCTCTATTAAGAAATCAATATTTCAGAAAGTATTTTATAATAAAAAGTGGAGTTTTAGGAAATTTTGAAAATTCGATAAAATTTTGTTTAATTGATCTTCTATCTTCAATACTTCTTTTAGCGAAATTTTGATACAAATAAACATATTTTCGTTATTTTATCATTTTATTTTCAACAATTTTAATCATATATTTTTGAGTCTGTTAATTACTCTGAACTCCATGAGCTTTGCTCAAACCTTCGTACAATTGTTTCTTTTCGGCATTGATTTCCTTCAATGTTTGTACAGCCAATTCCAACTGAACCTTTTTCAGGGCATGTGTGCTTATAAAATGTTCAATGAAACCCAGACACATTTCGTCAATTTCGAAATCTTTGGAAGATTTACCAATTGCTGTCTCAATTTCTTCATGAATGTCTCCATTATCCAACGCTTTCCTCAAGGGATTCCTCAATGTCTTCAATGCACTGTCCTCCATTGACGTGTACTGATCAAGTTTCTGCAACAATTCACCATAATTTTCAGAAACGTTATGGATTTTGTAATACAGAGCAATTAATTCGGCAGCATTGCGCAAATAATCTCGTCGAATCATATCATATAGAAGATCATCAATGCACTTGTGCCATGTATAGAAAAATGCCATGGGCCCAAAATGGCGGGTGGAACGCAATTTATCGAACTCTTTGGTTTCATTTAAATGCTGATAGACCTTGCTGCACAGTCGGTGATAGTCGGCTTCATAGGGTTCGTACTGTACAACCAAGCGATCCAAAATGAATTCATATTTATGCTCGTCCAAGCAACGTTGGAAATGCTCATCTTCAAACATCTTTGGTGTTCGAATTTTTCGTCCCGGCAAAGGCACGTATAACTGCTTCATTCGTTTCGCCACATCCATGGGTGCATAACGCAGTGTACCATCCGTCTCACGTACTACAACTTTTCTTTCAGTTGGCTTAATGCCAAAACTAATATCGGTTATTACATATTTCGTATCGGAGAATCCTTTTAAGGCCTTGTCTTCGGAAATAATTTTTTGTGTGTCATCCTTTACTTTAACCACTGGTGGCATTTGAAGCTTTGCCTTTGCTCTTTCAATTGTTCTTTGAAATTCATCTTCCAACTCTTCGGTCGTCATGAATTTGTATTCCGAGGAAAGTTTTTGAACTGTAGCCTTTCGAAACACCTTTTCAATCTGTAGCTGTGTTACCGATTTAAGTAACTTTTGGGTTTCCGGATCGGTAAATAATGGCTGGGGATCTTTATCATACTCCAATGTTACACCCTTGATAGCGGCATTTCTGACTGAAGTTTTAAATACAACATTTTTTAAGTTGGCGAGTAGATGCACTTGCTTGATTGCATGCATTGTTAATGTTAAACTATTTCCGTATTTTTCTATATTATCCTATGTTTTGTAACAAATTTTCCAAATTACTTCTAGCCAGCATGCACCTACTGAAAATATCGATTGTTACAGCTGTTCTTTGATATCGATGAAACTAGCAACATGTCTTTTTAAATAGAAAGGCAATGCGTATGATGCTCTTACTTATCAGCGTTACCTACAATTCGACGTAGCGTACAAAATTTTGAAATTCACCCCCATGGTGAAATTTTTTTCTGATATATCAGATCCATATCTTAAAATCAATGAAATAATAACTTTTTAAAATTTGATACTTTATTAAATTCCTCCCCCCGACGTAATAATTCCAAATCACCAACATTCACATTTTTATACCCTCCACCATACATAGTATTAAGTTCGTCATTCCGTTTGTAACTCATCGATATAATAATCTTATTTCCAACAATACATAGTATTAAGTTCCTCATTCCGTTTGTAACTCATCGATATAATAATTTTATTTCCAACAAAGTATATACATTCTTGATCAGCGTAAAATTCTAATAAGATTTAGCTCTGTCTGTCCATCCGCCTGTTGTAATCACGCAACAGTTAAAACAAATTAAGATAGAAAGCTAAAATTTTGCACAAATCTGTCTTTTGTCTGCAGGCAGATCAAGTATATATATCGGTCCACGATATTGTATAGCTCCCATTTATCGGTACCCCCGACATTCGGTATTATGATGATTTTAGCCACATTTTTCAATGGAATTGTCTGAAATTTTACACAAAAAGTTCTTTGTGAGTACTTTGCCCCCCGAAGAAGAATTGCATTTATAGGTCTACGATATTGTATATCCGCCATATAACGGTACCACCGATATTCGGTATTTTGATGGTTTTAGCCATGGTACAATAAAAAAAGTAAGGTAGAGCTACCAACTGATTAAAATCGTGCCCGACTTCGTGGTTTTAAATTATTTATTCAAAATCAATGCAACAAGTTGTTTGCTTTTTTATTGTTTTGATAGTAATTCTGACATTACAAGCCAAACAGGTAGACCTCTATACTTGCAATTTTTTTAAAGGTAGCCTACCTTGTATTCATTGTACCTTGGATCGAACTATTTAGATCATATTTTTGAAAGAGAATCCAGGGCAATTCATTACTTTTTTGCGCTGTTTAGTTGATTTTAAAAATGAGGAAAAATATTGAAAATGTGAAAACAACTTGTATGCATGCAAATTTGACAGGAAGCGGGCATAGCCTCAGGACTGTATTTATGTATGTATTGTACCATGGTTAATCCGATATTCGGAACCCCCGATATTCTCATAAGAAGTTCTTTGTAAGTACTTTATCCCCTATGAAATATGTGAAATATTATATCAAACAAGTAAAAAAGCTGCAAGTTCTGTCTGTTTCTGTCATAGGTTGCAGTATTCATTAAGAACTTCAAATACAAAATTTTAAATAATTCCCGTGAATAAAATCGCTAAAATCATCAAAATACCGAATATCGGGTGACACCGTTATATGGGGGTTATGCGAAGACGTGGATCTACATGGCCCTATTTCTGTTTTATTTTGTAGTATCTGTTACGAACTTCAAATACCAAATTGAAAACAATTCCAGTAAATAATATCGCTAAAATCATCAAAATACCGAATATCGGGGTAGACGGACGGACGACGATATATAGACATAGAATTTTATGCTAATCAAGAATATATGTACTTTGTGGTTCTAAAATGTATATTTAGATGTGTTACAAACGGAATGACAACCTTAATATACCCTCCATACTATCATGGTAGAACTAAGAAGGTAAAGTCCTATGTTTACTATTTTTTCCAAAATTATTCATTGGACATTTCATTGTCAAAATTTAAATTCATAAATACCTTGCATACACACAAATCAGAGATGGGAACCTGGTTTCTATGGTTAATTACAGAAAATTCAGAGCTGGGAATGCTTATTTGAAATGACTGATCTTAATTTTACCATGCATACTAGGTGGAAGGTATAAAAAATATTAAAAATTAATTGTTTTGTTTACACTTTTGGACGTATAACTCTGACACTTGTATTACGTACAAACAAAAACAAATTTGTGTGAGGTTGTTGTTACCTTTGTTGTACAACACTTCCTGTTACCCATATTATTCTACAAGTGTTCAAAAACATATGGTCTGTTCCATGGAACAATAAAAAGGTATATATGTTTCCTTATACTGCGTCAAATTTAAATAATTTTTCATTAAACATTTTCAATTCCAAAAGCGGTTTGACAGCTCATTGTCCCAGCAGCTGTGTCGACGCGTCTACCTACATTCTTCTACCATGGGTAGAGCTCATGGCAGAGAAATACAGGTAGATGCATCAACGCTTGGGAGCATTGATATGTCAAAAACTTTTAAATTTCTTTTCAAATATAAGTAGATTTTTATATGTTTTCTTATACGACACAGATCGTGGGTTGTTCAGATATGCATTTTTCAACAATTTTTACAAATTTAAATAATTTTTCATTCAACATTTTCAATTCCAAAATTGGTTTGACAGTTCATTGTCCCAGCAGCTGCATCAATGCGTCTACCTATATTCTTCTACCTATATATTCTAGCGATTTCCAAATGACAAGCTCATATAAAATGTCTACATTTGGTTAGTAGCATTGGCGACAAAATCAATAGTTATTCACCATTAACATTTTCTACAGGGTTATTAGAACTGTTGTATCGTGTGGGCTTACATTACAGTTCTCGAACAGACCAAGTGTGAACCCGCTATAAGGCCTGACTTCGCCTCCGACAAAAATATCGATTACTATTTTTCTATTCACGATAGCTAACAGACGATCTTTGTATCCCTATTGATGAAAAATATTGATAAAGCGGAGCAAACTTGTAATTTACGAAAAAAATAAAAATAATCGTAATAACGCAATAAAGTCGTAATGGATTCCTGCCAAACAAGGGACGAACAGGAAGATACACCTATTACATTGCACACACGAACTACAAATGGTAATAAACGTAAACGTCGATGTTCCCAAATTTCAAATGAAGATGATCAGACACCGTACAAGAAGACAACACCTAACGAAGATAATGTAGACAAACAAAGCGTAGAAAGTAAAATTCCGCTGATAAATGCAAGTGCTGAAAACAATGAAGACGATGCAACTAATAAATCCAATAGTACAACTTACTATGATGAAGACCAGTTCTCGTTGGAACACTTTTGTGATGAGTTGCTATATGAAGTCTTTAAATTTCTGGATACCTGGTCGTTGATGACATTAATGAAGTAAGTGTGCAACATTGATTTTTTAATACATTATTGATGTTTGATTTGTTTTTATTCCCAGCGTTAGTAAGCGATTCCAGAAATTTGTATTAGATAAGAGACTGTGGGAAGATATCGACCTCAGTCAAGAGCCTTTGCCTCTTGGTATCCTGGAAGATATGCTAGAGCGTTCACACGAGAAAACACGCAGTATTAAATTGAGGGGACCATCACCCTCTCAACACATAGAGGGAGAAATACAGCATTTTAACATAACACTGCGTAATTCATTGACTACAAGGTGTACAAAACTACTGACATTGGAATTATTTGGGGTAACATTGGATTTTAATTTGGTATGTATCGAAAATGCAAAATTTATCTAATAGTAGATTGCATTTTTAACGTCTTTGTTACTGCCAATTTATGTCTTATCTTATAAAAAGAACACTACACGGTACAGATTAGTAACTTTCTAGTTCAAATTAGAACTTTTCTGTAGAATGTCTAATATAATAAGTTACGAATTGGAAGCAATTGTGCTCGCCTTTAGCTCTTTTTTGATGCATTGGCATAAATAACTTATGATTTAGTAGACACGGTAATTTTAAATCTTTTCTTCTGTAGCTAACATTTAGTGACTTCCCAAAGACACTAAAACGACTGGTTCTTAACAACTGCCATGTACGAGTCGACCCCAGCAAATCAATTTTTACTGGCGTTGATGCCATTTTGACTAATTTAGACGAGTTAGCGATAGAGAAAAACAGTTGGTTTGACCCTTACTATGTGATGCCTATATCGAAGTTACCTGCACTTAGATATTTAAGTTTGAAAGGTTGTAGCCAGATGCAAGAGTTTATTCCATATGGAAGTATAGCTGGACGTCATGGATTTAAACAATTGGAGGTAATATCAGACAAATAGAATATATAAAATAGCTTACGTTTTTTTTTCAATTTTAGGTGCTTGATTTGAGTAACACTCCTTTGAATGACTCCGACTTGCAATGTTTTAATGCGGTGGAAACTCTAAAAGAAATTTACCTTCAATGTCCGGAATCGGATGAAACGCAGACAGTTTCTACATCGTCCTCCAAAAGAATTCCAATTTCTAATGGAACATCAATAACTAAAACCACTCTAGAAGAACAAGAACCTTCAACGTCTTCAAAAGCTCCAGTCACAAACAAAGATCTGGATGATTCACCTTCAACATCATCATCATCATCAAATTCGTCTCTATCATCTGGTACTGATGTCGAAACATCATCACCACAGTCATCAAACAGAAATAGCCAGAGCGATACGAATGTATCTTCGGTATCAAATAATGCCTCAGCTAATGTCATACCAATAGTAGGTAGTAATGCCCCAACAGTTAGCAGATTTTTACCACGGCCAGATCACATTATTTGCCTTGATCTACGCAATCGCACATCGCCTAATGCTGTTCACATAAATATTAATGTTAGGGATCGTAGCAACTTTAGGCATTTGATAATGCCCGGTCAGCAACCAGGTAATCAACAACAGCAACAGAATCAACAATCACCACCACCGGCCTTTGAACAAATGATTAGACATAATCTCTTTTGGGATATCATAAATCCTCTTGGACGTGTAACAGGTGGTGGTGGTCCAGATCGACTATTCGGCGAAGAGAATGAAATGGAATTTGGGGCAGGAAATCATGATCCATTTAGCATTTTATCAAGACGACCTATACAACGAGGTAGTATATCTGATCGTGGCGTATGTTGTTTCGGTCGTACCCGTCAACCAGTCCATCATGGAGTTATCTGGATACGTTTTAATAATCGTCCGAGTGAAAATCGTTTTGAGAGGTTTAGCGTTCGTGATTATAAATACGTTACAGACGTTTCACTACAACACTTGGTACAGTGTTCGCCAAATCTTGTATTTTTGGACGTCAGTGGTACAAGTGTAACATTAGACGGTATTAAACGTTTTAAGGAATTGAAACCTGAGTGTAAATTGGTGGCGGAACACATAGCAGGGGCAAGCGTTCTTTGAAACCTCTAAAGTGCAATGGCTATATAATGCTGATGATATGCATTTATATCTTGATATATACTTGTAGTGAATGCGTAGAAAGGTAAGATAATTTTTTATAGTTAAAATCGAAATGTCCGGTTTAAAAAACGTGCAAAAACAAGCTCGGTGTAATTGTAACACATGTTTTTACATGTTTTTGTTTTGAGATATATAAAAAACTATTTTTCGTTCATTCTAGTTGCTTATTTCCTTCTCATTGTTATCAATTTCCGAAGATATTTCTACAATAACTATTATCAACATGTGTTTTTTATTATATTTCCAGATCGTAAGTCCAACGTACGGCTCAATGTCTACCTGTAATCAAATGTAATTGAATATTTTACTTTCCTCATCATACATTACAACAATGTAAGGAATAGTTTAGCAATATAAAAATTATCTGAAGCATCGGCAATGCCACCGCAGAGTGGAAATTCAATTGTGCCCTCACAAACAAACTTACTGTGATTACCGAGAAATAGTTTGCTGTTGTGATGGCATGGAATACACAACAACAAATTGTAATGAAATACCTAAGTGAATGCCTATTTATTTCGGAATCTGAGTTATATGTTCGTTGCTTCCCTCTGTATCAATTATATATCTCCATATTTTATTTGATCTAATAATTTATATATATTAATTCTTAATAGTTTGTAGTCTGTATTCATGTATGTCTTCTCCTAACAATACAATAAAGCAAACAAAAAGGATTTAAATCCTTTGTGCAATTGCATATTTTGTAAATTATATTCTGGAGGATAGATAACTAATATACAAATCAGATGAAATATAAAAAGTATTAAAATTTTAAATATTTTTTATTTTAGAATTATGTTAAACTTTGAGCATTTTAGTCTGTGTACTTTTTCAGGAATATTTACTCACAAAGTTTTTGGAGAGAGTAAAACAATACTAACTCATTTATTAGAAAAAGTGAAAAAGTATATAAAACTATGGACAAATGACGTTTTTGCATAGTCAACATGCTGATTTAAGTAGTCAACCTACTCGATTTAAAAAAAAAAAAACATTTCATCGTTTTACAAGTATTTCACTTGATTATTCCTGCATTTTTCGATGTCATCACGTAATTTTTACATATCTTTCTTCATGGAAAAATTTTAATTAACAAATATTAGTTCATGATATTTTTGACGTCCTTGTCTACGTCTACAACAATCCAAGTTAGCCATGCCAATTTAGATTAAACATTAAAATCTTGCGCACTCAATTATACAGGGTGATATAAAATCTGCAACAAAGTCGAACGTCATATTTTTTTTTTAATTTTATTGAATGAAACTAAAGAATGTCGGAAATAGCATAAAATTTTAGGATAAGTTAAGATTTGTTCGTATTGGTCAACTTTGGCACGAAATAATGCCTTCAAAACACCAATGAAACCGTCACACGCTGGCCGAATTTTACTCTGCGGTATTTTGGTCCATTCCCGGCGAAGCTCTCTCTGGGGTGATCGTCGCTTTGGTATTTTTTAGTGCCAACCTTGGTATCCGGAGATTTCGGTGGCCATTGTGCGCTGGAAATGAAGCGAGGAACCTCATTTTGTAACCAATCTTGGGTGGCGCGTGCTGAGTGCGATGGTGCTGAGTCCTGTTGGAATGTCCAAGGTCTGCGGCCAAAATGTTTGCGTGCCCAAGGTTTTAATACACCCTCCAGAATATTTTCGCAATAATATTTGGTATTTATTCTGATGCCACGGTCTATTAATACGAGCGTAGAGCGACCATCGGCTGTTATGGCGGCCCACACCATCACCGTGGCCGGCGCTTGAGTTCTGGTGACCAACCGATGGTGCACATTTTCAGCTGATCTCTTTGGAAACTAAACACGATCATTTTGCTTGTTTACAAACTGCTGGACAACAAATGTTTTCTCATCGGAGAAAACCAAATTAAATTCGACAGTTCACCACTTTCGGCCCAACGAAGCAACTCTTTATCTCTTATGAGTCTATTTTCTTTCCGTTGCGGTGTAAGTTCCCGGCCACTGCGACGCGGGTTTCGATCAAGTCGCTTCTTGACTTTTCGAACCATTTCTGCTGATGCTGTTGTTTTCTTCCGTCCACTTCCTTGACGTCGGGCTACGCTACCAGTATCACGGTAACGAGCGATAGTACGAGACACAAAAGATTTATTCACATTTAAATGCTGGAGTGCTCCAACGATAGCCATTTGTGGTTTTCCAGCCAAATATAAAGAAATAACACTATCACGCTTGTATTTCATCACGAATACACTTTTTTGCTGAAAAATTCTCACCAAGATGCTTTTGTACGCTTGCAAACAATATAATAAGCTGTCACTGCAATAATTTTAAAAGTTGTCGGTGTGGCTTAGAAATGACAGCAGTCTGAAGTTGGTTGCAGTTTCTTTATCTCTCCCTGTATATACTCAGAACCTGCAGGAATGAACAATTGTTAATAAGATAACCGGATTTTCCTTTATGGAATCGGAAAAAATTTGCAAAACTAGCATCCGTTTGAAGATTCTGGAACAGAGTTTATATCAAAATGTATATAATTCATATATTTGGCAATTCAAAATTCATAAGAAAATGTAGGAATTTTTTATTTTGTTGATGCAGCAATACTGCCTAATTCGTCTTCATTGGTTTCTTCATCTTCGTCGTTTTCAGATTCAGATTCAGAATCTGAACTTAGACAATCGGCAATTTCACCCGTAAAGAAGAGGACAGCTTTTGGTATAACACGTTCCTTTAAGTAGAACCCTAACTCAAAGTCGTTTTGTAATATTGCCTATGGGGAAATGTTAAAGGTTTGCTAGAAAATCGTTAGGAATATACAAAACCACACAACTTACATTAATATCCGAATAGGTTGGATCATTTGGATTTTCTGGTAATGTTGGCGGATCAAAGAAATCGAAAAATGATGTAAATGCTGTAAAATACATAAAGTTAGAATGAACTTTTTGCTTAACTAAAATATCAAACTTACATTTTTTCTCCTTCTCCTTTTCAGGATTTTTCCAATCGATTTTACATCCCTCACATTTATAAATCTCAGCTCCATCATAAGAAAATGGGTCATCAGGGTCCGGCAAGCAATTGAGAAAATAGGTTTTCGTTAAAATACGATTTGTAAAATAATCGTTCGGTTCAAAATAAAATTCCAAGATAAATTTAACAGATGGTTCATTGTACAACTTGGAACGTATATCGGCTAGGAACTTGAATTATATGAAACATTTCTCTTTAATGTGGTTTGAAATATAAACATTTTTGTCTATAATTACCACTAAAATTTTCTCATCTCTCTTGCTAATGAATTCGGTATATGAAGCTTTCAGAACTTTCAACCAGAAATTATTAACATTTCCCATTTCGCTGGGATCACCGCCTTGATTGTGTTTTTTGAAGTTTCTATAGGAAATTACGTGGAAAGTGAACACATTCTTTATTATTATTTCTGTATGACGATACAAAAGTCTACTCATTGGAAGAAGCACCAATTCCATGTTTATTTTTTAATTCAAATATAAATTAAAAAAAAAAACATAAAAAGGAGTTCACTTTCAAATCGTCGCACAAAAACAGGTCATTCTAGTTTCCTGTACTTACTCCAACAATTGTAAACGTTTATCGTAGATAATATCATGTTTACTTTCAAATGATTTCTCAAGATTATATATGCCATGTTGCAGATCAACATCTAATTTTATTGTATCCAAATAGAGTTTTTTCATATCGGCAATGCATTTGGTCTCCTTTTCTGTATATTTTGTATCCTTTTCCTGGCGAGACTCGTATGTTTTGGTTATATTAAAAAATGGAATACACAAATTATTTACCAGTTGCTTTTTCTTTTCCGTTAATGCTGGAGTTTTTGGAGTCTTTGTGGAACTGCGAAGTTTAATATCCATATTGTGGCGATAACGTTTTCTATTTGCCAATATGAAGTAATTATATTATATTTTGTTGTGGAGTTTTTCTACAACGATAATAAAATGAGCAGTTTGACATAAAAATCTATACATACGTTTGTATGTTATATATATGCAAATGAAAAAAGTTTAGATTGGCAAACAAGTGTATTCCAAAGACACCGGGTAAACTGGGATTTAGAATAGAAACAGATATTTCTTAAAAGAACGAGAATATTTAAGACGCTACGTCACTAAGTATATATCTGAACTACCACAGAGAGGGGTATAAGAATAATAAATGAGGGGTATAAACAAAGGGTGTCACAAGTAGAACTCAGTTTTTATACCCTATACCACATAGTGGTAATGGTATTATGGCTTTACGCATTTTTTGTAACATAGAGAAGGAACGAGATAGAGCCATAGTTACTTTTGACGATCTGCATAGAATTACTTTCTGAGTCGATTTTTGCATCACAAAATGCAGGTCGCATTTATTATCCGATTGTGATGAAATTTTCCAAACAATATCTGTTTGGCCCTAGTACGAACCCTGTTCAAAAACAGTCCGTCTGTCCATGTATTTTTGTGAAAAAAATGCAGGTCGTATTTATTATCCAATTGAGATGAAATTATCCCAACAATATTTGTTTGGCCCAAGGACGAATCCTATTGAAATTGGTGAGAATTGTTTCACATTTATATATAGCTCTTATATATATCTTCCACCGATTTCGGGTTAATTGTACACTAAATGGCCAATATCAATCCAATCAGTAAATGGCCAATGTGTCAAATGAATTTTGGCACATCCGACCGAATTCAGTATAGATGCAAGTACATCAAATTTGGTGAAAATCGGTTCAGGTATAGCTATAGCTCCCATATATGTTTCACCCGACTTGGTGTCCCTCATATTCGTAACATGCACTCCACAACAATGATATTTGGTACAAAATATCTTATAGAGCTCGGAAATACCTTTGCAACATTTTATCGAGATCGGCTAAGTTCTGTATATGGCTCCCATGTACCGGGTGAGATGAAAAAACTGCAACCAACTTCAGACTGCTGTCATTTCTAAGCCACTCGTCCGACAGCTGTGTAAAATTATTCCAGTGAAAGCTCATTATATTGCTTACAAGCGTACAAAAGCATTTTGGTGAGAATGTTTCAGAAAAAAGTTATTCGTGTTGGAATTTCAGCGTGATAGTGTTATTTCTTTATATTTGGCTGGGAAACCACAAATGGCTATCGTTAGAGCACTCCAGCAATTAAATGTGAATAAATCTTTTGGGTCTTGTACCATCGCTCGTTACCATGATACTGGTAGCGTAGTTCGACGTCAAGGAAGTGGGCGGAAGAAAACAGCAACATCAGCAGAAATGGTTCGAAAAGTAAAGAAGAGAAACCCGCAACGTCGCAGTGGCCGACAAATGGCCCGTGAGCTGAACATGTCGCAATATTCCATTCGGCATGTATTGAAAAATGAGCTTGGGGCAAAGCTATTGAAATTCCAAAAAGTGCAAGAACTTACTCCGCAACAGAAAGAAAATAGACTCAAAAGAGCTAAAGAGTTGCTTCTCTGGCCTGAAAGTGCTTAACTGCCGACTTTGGTTTTCTCCGATGAAAAAATATTCGTTGTCCAGCACAAAATGAGGGTGTATTATGACCTTGGACATTCCAACAGGACTCAGCACTATCGCACACAGCACGTTTGTAACACCTCGAAATATACATTTTAGACCCCACAAAGTATACACATATATTCTTGATCAGCATAAAATTCTATGCCGATCTAGCGATGCCCGTCTGTGGAGATCACTCTAGCTTACGAAAGAAATGAAGTAGATTACTCAAATGTATATTATGTCGGCAGGACTTTTGGTATTGAAAATGTGCCATATAGGTCCACATTTTCGTCTAGTCCCCATATAACAGTACCTTCCAATATTCGGTATTTTGATGATTTTAGCAACATTATTCACCGGAATTGTTTCAAATTTTGTATTTGAAGTTCGTGATGGATACTACAGCATAGGACAGAAATTAGTCTGTGCAGGTCCTCGTCTTCGTATAGTCCCCATATAACGTTACCTCCCAATATTCTGTATTTTGATGATTTTAGCGACATTATACACCGGAATTGTTTTAAATTTGGTATTTGAAGTTCGAAATGGATACTACAGCCTAAGAGAGAAAATTTTCTGTGCAGGTCCACGTCTTCGCATGGCCTCTATATAACGGTACCTCCCGATATTCGGTATTTTGATGATTTTAGCGACATTATTCATCGGCATTGTTTCAAATTTGTTATGAATTTGTTCTTAATGAATACTGCAGCCCAAGGCAGAAAATTGTCTGTGCTGGTTCGCATTTTGGTATAGTTCCCATATAATAGTACCTCCCTATATTGATAATTTTAGCTACATTATTTACGATTTTTTTTTCAAGTTTCCCATTTGAATATTGTAATGGCTTGTGACATAACTTTCCTATGTAGGCCCCCGTCGTCGTTTAGACCTTAATATGATGGCTACATTTGGTATTTTGAAGATTTTAACGGAATTTTTAACGTTATTTTTTGAAATTTGCCAAATTCGTTCCAAATGGTGGAGGGTATTCAAAGTTCGGCCCGGCCGAACTTATAGCTTTTTTACTTATTTTAATATCTGTGTTTTATTAAAAATTCAAAAATTACGTTCTTGTTGGGACACCCGGCATCAATGGCTATGTGGAAATTTGAAGTTTTGGTGATAACAAAAACGGCAATAACTCCAAATACAAGGACAAAGTTAATAGATATAACCTACATTCCGTTAAGGGTGAAAGCGTAAAATTGTTAAACTCGTTGAAAACGAATTACATCGAGTTACAGACATGCATATTTTCTTTTATATTTCGAATATTTCGAATATTTTGAGACTTGAAAAACTACTAAGAAACCATTGTCATTCAAAACACGATTTGTATAATTTTCAAATGATTTCCCCTGTTTTGCATCTCATCGTAAATAGGTCCACAGTAAATGCGTTTTTAACAAATGTTGTGATTGTTTTAACTGCTATGCTCGACTTGTTTCGAAACATTATGTAAGCGTGTCATAACAAATCCACGCTGACACACGTAGCCGACAAGGAGAAGAAAAATCACAAGGGAACGGGAGCACGCCCCAAAATATTCTCAAGCTTGTTGAATGAACAGCAACAATAACATTTAGCAGAAGGTCCGCTAATTATGGGTTACATTTAATTAATCCCTTATGTAATTTTTTTCTGGAAGTGGTTTGTGGCTAGCGGGTTGCAGGAGACTCCCTTCCGTATTGCAAACATTTATGTGAAATGCGCTGACACGTACCAGTCCACTATTTCCTTAGCGAAATGGCATATAATTAAATAGGGAAATAACTGCTCGGCATATCTGTGTATGTAACGGCTGAACTATTTAAATTCGCCGAGACATTTTGAACGTGGAAGTATTCGTGAGTTGTTTTAGTAATTAGTTTGAACAGCATAATGAAGGGAGCTTTAAAAATGAAATATCATAATTTGGTCGAATGTAGACAAGATTTTGAAAGGAAAAAACTTTAAAAGATGTAGAGAATTAACAGATGCTGTATAGAAATAATGGATTCTTACAATTAACTTACATAATATTGATAACCGATATAGATTAGCTTCCAGCTCTATATTGCTGAACTTAAAAAAGGTATTTTCCCAGAAACGATCCCTAATTAAATTTTTAAAATTGGATTATATTAGTTTGGAGTGAGTATTTTATGTATCCAAGGATAATTGTGAAATATTATTTTTGTGAATTTTTGAGTATGAAAAACTCGTAGAGATTGGTGCCTAGATTATCTCCCTTGGAGTAACCTGTCCGTATCTGAGATATCATTTTGTAATTTTGTTCCCTTACTGTAAACAGTAAATATTCTCTGAATACCCTCCACCATTTGGAACGAATTAGAAAATATTAAAAAAATTAAATTCCATTGAAAATTCTGTTAAAATCTTTAAAATACCTAATATCGGAAGGTGCCGATATCGGAAGGGATATACGCTATTGTGGACCTATATAGACAAATCTATGTCTGGGGGTAAAGTACTCACAAGGATCTCCTTGTGTGAATTTTTAGATAATTCCATTGGGAAATGTGGCTAAAATCATCCAAATCCCGAACATCGGGGGTACCGTTATATGGGGGATATACGATATTGTGGACCTATATAGACAAATTCCTTTCACAAAGAAATCCTTGTGTGGATTTTCAGAGAATACCATTGGAATATATAGCTAAAATCATCAAAATACCGAATAACGGGGGTACCGTTATTTGGGGGCTATACGATATCGTTAACCTATATAGAGAACTCTATGTCAGCGGGTAAAGTGCTCACAAAGAACCCCTTGTGGGGAATTTCAGACAATTCCGTTGAAAAATGTGGCTGAAATCATCAAAATACCGAATATCAGAGGGTACCGTTATATGGGGGATATACGATATCGTGGACCTATACAGACAACTCTCTTTCAAGGAGTAAAATACTCACAAAGAACTCCATGTGTGGATTATCAGACAATTCCGTTGAAAAATGTGGGTAAAATCATCAAAATACCGAATATAGGGGAGTACCGTTATATGGGGGATATACGATATTGTGGACCTATATAGACAATTCCGTTTCAGGGGTAAAGTGCTCACAAAGAACCCCTTGTGTACAAAGAACCCCATTCCGTTGGAAAATATGGCTAAAAACATCAAAATACCGAATATCAGGGGTACCGTTATATAAGGGCTATACGATATCGTGGATCTATATAGATAATTCTCTGTCGAGGTATAAAGTACCCACAAGGAATTACTTGTGTGGATTTTCAGACAATTCCATTAAAAAATGTGGCTAACATCATCAAAATACAGAATATCGGGGGTACCGTTATATGGGGGATATACGATATCGTGGACCGATATACCCCATCTTCGAACTTGACCTGCCTGCAGACAAAAGAGAGATCTGTGCAAAATTTTAGCTTCCTATCTTAATTCGTTTAGACTGTAGATTACAACAGACGGACGGAC